ATTCTTGTGCATTATATTGTGCATTATACACTGAGATTCCCGCCGTGGCCGTAATCGGTCATTAAAACATTATTATAAATTAACAAATCGTAATCGGTTTTTAAAATTTGAAAATAATGACATTATAATATTGCCATTATTTTCAAATTTTAATATTCGAGTTTTTGACTTATTGTTTGTATTTAAGTTGTACCTATAATATCAATAACATTTTGTAAACGAATTAGTGTATAGTTCAGGCTAGCTAGATTTCAAAATCAAAAAATAATTTGCTCTACTGAGAATATACTTATTGTACAAGGCATCGATCATGAAGTAGCAGAATTAAATTTCAAAGCACAAAAGATACTTTAAAACACAATCGTAAAGATATGTTATAATTTTTATACGTTTAAAAATTGCAAGCAGGAAATTTGTTTTGACATAAGGATGAAGGCTAGTTATAGAAAAAGCATACTCGCGCGTTGTTGCAGTTGTGAGGAAATAAAATGAGGAAACTAAGAAAGACGCTAATTCCTTATAGTTATTATTATTTAAAATGAAAAAAACGATTATACTACCATTGTTAATTCTGAATAAATTATACGGATGCCTTTTTTACGACCGTTGATCGTTTAATAGTCGTGTTAGTAATGAGAGGTTTATTACTTATATAAAATTCAATTATATACCATATTTATTTTATATAGAATATATTTGGGAAATATAAAGTGCACTTAAAAATAAATAATTATATATAAAACACAAACCAGCAAAGTTTCCACTTAAAAATCCATACTAATATTATAAATGTGAAAGTGTGTTTGTTCGTTTGTTTGTTTGTTTGTTTGTCCTTCTTTCACGTCGAAACGGCTTGGTGATTTGGCGTGATTTTTTGTATGGAGATAGTTAGAGGGCTGGAGAGGGGCATAGGCTTACTTTTTACCGCGGGAGATTATCTCTTTCCCACGGGAAAACACGTTATAATGCAATTCAAAAAAATATTTGTTATCAGAATTACTTAAAACTTGGTATATAATACTCTTCAATACAATTAATTAAATACTTGTTTTAACATTTTTCCAAATTCATCCTATAAGGGGGTAAAATAGAGGATGAAAGTTTGTATGAAACTACTTTTTTAGTTTTTTTGTAGTTTTAGCGCGAGCGAAGCCGCGGGTTCTGCTAGTATTTCATAAATTAGTGACAATAAAAAACAAAACAGAAAAACAATAACTTAACAATGGTGGAAAAATAAAATGAAGCTTCAAGCTATTGATTAATTCAAGTTAAAACTAATAATAATAATAACAATCAGATTACAATAATGAAAATATTTATAACATTAATTCTAATAATAAGTTTTTCTCTGTATATCATTAGGATATTATCTATTCTAATATATATTAAAGAGGCAAGGTTTGTTTTTTTTGTTTGTTTGTTTGTTTGTTTGTTTGTTTGTATCGAATAGAATTTGAAACTACTGAACCGATTTAGATGAAATTTGGATATTGAAAGATAGTTTCAGACCCTGGGAAGGACATAAGATATCTCAAATTCGTCTCAAACACAAGAAGTCTCAAATTCGTGTGTTATTAGAGTTAAAGTTTGATGTTAAATCATTTGTTTTTTTTATTTGCGATTAAAATTATTGTTACCAATTGGAAAAAAGGACAAACAACCAAACAGACAATATTTATAATAATTGTATGGATATGGATAAGGAAATAAGAACTGATTTCTGTCTATATATACCTACATAAGTATATTGTTATTCAATGTTTTGCAACTCAAATATGAATGAAAGATTATATATGGATTAAATAGCAACCTCGTCAGTAACGGGTTATCGAGAGATCATAACATTTCTATTCCTTATCTATGTTATGTAAATATAGTCATTTTGAAATGTTTCCTGAAGACGTCTATATCCGTATGTATATGTTACCGGTAATATATATAATATTGCCACTCTATAAATTACCTAGGCAATGTAAATATCAATTATGTGTACGTATATATACGTTATATTATTGATACTTATGAATTATAATTGCGTTTTGAAACTAATGACCTTTCAAAATATTTTGTTTTAATTATTTTCTAGACTTCTTTAGAATACATTTATTAGGTGGTTCCATTCAAATTTTATCGAAATAGGTCGAGCGGTTTTTAAAAAATCCACAATAAATTATTTTTTTAAATAAATCACTTAATCGAATATGTTATTAAAAAACTTTCTTCATACAATTTACCTGCTTATTACGTATACACAAAAAATGTAAAAAAAATAAAATAAAAAAAGAACCAATTCCAGGCACTAAAATGCAAAAAGTAACTAAACGGGGGTTTGCACTTAGAATAGATACTTAATCAGATATTTTCGAAGTCAGTGGCAGCCGACAATATTTTAAGATATTAATATCTAATAGGTAAATAAGATTAGGTATGAACTCTAACAATTATTATTATGTAGTTAATGTATTTTACGTATCGAAATATATTAGATTTGCTTTGCATCGGCTAGTACCGACTTCGAAAATATCTGATTAGGTATCTATTCTAAATGAAAACCCCTGTTTAGTTAATTTTTATATTAGTGCCTGGAACTCGGTATTTTTTTTTAATTGATGTGTCAAGTGGACAGACGATGATTCGAGTTCTAACGGGAAGTGTTAAAAACAAGTATTTAAGAAAATAATAAATATAGGTAATTGTTAATTATTAACCACTGCTTTTCTGGAAATTTTGTGATTGTGGAAATCTGAAATGGAAGTTTTAAGTTTAACATTATTAAAAACAAAACGAAAGATGTTAGGTACGTCTGATTTATTTTTCAATGCAAGCTACAAAATAATAGGTAGCTTTTTAGCTATTTTCTAAAATATATATAGGTTTTTAACCTCCTTTGTCTGTTAATATGCAAATATATGTATCATTTGTTTTCGTATTAGTACTTAGATACGCGAATAAGTGTGTTTTAACCGTTTTATCGAATATTTATACCTTTGCACGTGTACCTACAACTTACAAGATACCGATATTTATTGATTTTTGAATTACTGTTGTTTGAACATTGGATACCGTATTAGTAGATACGGTAGTATACCCTTGTCTTATTGACGACTGAATATCGACATCATGAGCCCATGCATTAATTGTAAAAGAGCAGCGAAACGCTCTAATACAATATGGATATGGTCAACTTTGTTTTATTTTTTAACCGACTGCAGTGAAGCCCAAAGGAGTTTGACCTGTATGTATGTATGTCCGACCCGCTGTTCCCTTGTAATTACTAAACGGCTTAACTGATATTCATACGTCGTTAGATTCGTCTTGAAAACTCGACACATTTCAAGACTCGCAGTTATATTAGTATAAAAATTTGCATGTCTCCGACTGTATAATACTGTGTATCTTCGTAAACTTGTTCTCATCTTTTTAGTTTTTTTACACAGTCGGGTTTTTTTTATGCTATATGTTAATTATGCTGTTATTTTACTATAGAACATTGATAATGGTGGGTAATAAAGTTAATTAGAATACACACATTTTTACATATTACTTTTTTAATGTAGATCAATAAAAATATGCATGTCTGTGGATATATATATGGTGTGTAAGAAAGCCCGTTTATTCGTTCACCCTGGCTTCGCTCTGGTTCGCCTCTAGAAAAACAAAACCAAATCTATCCCACGGGAACCGTACATTTTTCCAGGATAACAAGTAGCCTATGAACATATATGTATTCTGATATATGACCTATATTATTATAAAGTCTCATTAAAACCCATTCAGTAGTTTTTGCATGGAAGAGAAAAAAATAGATATCCATACACCCTCACAAACCTTCGCATTTATAATATTAGTAGGATTTATGTAGGTAATGTAAAAAAAAATGTATATTTTCATAATTCATCCCTTAAAGGAATAAAAGAGGGTAATAAAGTTTATATGGGCAAAAAATAATTATATTATGTGTTTTAGCATTTTTTGAAATTCATTCCATAAGGGGATAAAATGGGGTATGAAAGTTTATATGGAATTCTGTAATTAATGCACGAAAAGTGTTATTTACCTTTAAAATGAAAAATAAAATAATACAAATAACATTTTTTTTCGAATTTCATGCCTGGAAAGGGTAAAAGGGGGTTGTGCTGTTTATATGGGAAAATGGATTATGATCAGAATGGCTTGAAGCTTAGTGTTAATGCTCTTTAATACAATTAAATAAACATGTATTTTTGAATTTTTAAAATTCAGGCCCTAAGGGGGTAAAACTGGGCGGTAAAGTTGGAGTTGGTTAAATGCATTTAAAAATAGTAACATGGCTCAAGTTCTCCGTAAGTGCACACTTACTGTGTGGCATATATGTAGAGTTGAGAACGGAAATTACCCCTCGGCTGGCCACAGCAGTGACAACTGTAACAGACGAGAGAGAGACTCTATCTACAATGTATCCTGTTATATATATCCTCCTTTTAAAGGTTGGCACATCTGTCATGAAGTCACCTAAGTTATGTAAGCAGTGGAGCTTGCTACATACCTAAAATGAAAATTTAGTTACAGAATATACCTACGTTTAACATCTTTTAGGATATTTAATATTTTGAGTTACGATCGCTAAAATTAAATTTGTTTTCCATTTGTGTTTTTTCAAAAATTTGAAATAATGTGAAACACGAACTTATTGTTGCAAAAAATAAAAGTGTGTATAGCGAAAAGTCTTTTTTTCGTAGTTTGATCGCCGGCGAAGCCGCGGCTTCTGCCAGTGTAAAATATAACCGTGTGAAATAAAATGTAAAATATTTTCTTCAGTTGGTCATTACAGACAAGACTTAGATTTTAGTGAGAGAATTAAAAAAAAATTTTTTTGAGTGAATTTGAAAATGGGTTTTTTAGAAATGATAATAATATTGAATAGGTACTTGCATAAAAAATAGTTTGCTTATTAAGTCGTTATCGAATTCAACGAGACTATTATTGTAAGTACGAGTATATTTTCTTATTAAAAATAGAACATGTGCAAGTCTGATTATACACCAAGGGTTCCGTACCCGTATTTTAATGACATATTTCAGAATGACTTTGTATGTCACTGTATTTCTCAAAGTTACTACTACTAACAAAGCTTGGAACTGAAATATATATATATATATACTGTCACTTTATGCAAGTGTATTTATGATCTATTTTCTTTTACTTTCTTGATTTTGCAGAAGAATTGTCTAGCGGTTCACTTGAAGAGATCCACGTTCTAAATTTTAACTACATAGTGCCAATAGTTTTCGAGAAAAATGACACGCACAAATAAAGCTGATAGGTGGGTAGACAAACATGAGGAAATTATAAGCTAACATTATATTTATATTTAATTTCAGATAAAACATGAAATTCATCGTGTGTCTTGCGTGGTGGCTTTCGCTATAGCTGAAAATGCCGGCAATGAGCTATGTCTATTTAGCATTATCGGTCAAGTCTTGCAAAATTTAAGACTTAAAGCAATAGTACTCGATCCCCTTGTAGTTCAGAAACCTGAGATCGACTCATATGAGCCCATTAATGTCGGCGTCGTCATCATAGATAATAACCTGCAGAATCCTCATCTATCGAAATCCCCAATTCCTTGTACCCTCTACATCCTGCTCCAGTTTCCCTTCTCCCGTATTCAGATCTATGCCATCCAGCTTATTCTTAATGTTGAATCTGGATCTGGTGTCAGCGGCAGGTTTTAACTGGATCGCTGGACTAAGGCTCTTTAGCCTCCCCTCTGGATTCGCTATTGTACAGGACCATGCTCGCATCATGAAAAAAAAACTCTTGATTTGTAGAGAAGAGAGATGGTTTTGTAGAGAATAATAGACACTCCATGTTATTGTCACGAATGTTAGATAAGAAGCATAATTTACGCGTGCTGAACAGCACCCAAAGCATATTACCTTATCAATTAGAAACTATAAATATGCGAATTTTCCATGGTTTTCCATTTAACACTTGTCAGTATTCAATAAAATTCGGGGTCACTGGCATTTCCATAATAAGTGAGACGTTGTAAACATTATATAATTGTCATTTAATTTGCTATCAATAATGACACTACAGGACTTAAATGCGTGAATTTGTCCACTTACGAACACACACGTTTAAGTCCCGTAGTGTCATTAATAATTATGGAACGCGAAAATTTAAAGTTATATTTTTTTATTGTTTGCAGATGGAGGGTACGTTTATTTTATTGTTTTCAGCGGCATTATTGGTGGTTAATGAAGCTCTTGACAATGGTTTAGCTCTGACGTCACCGATGGGTTGGCTGACGTGGCAAAGATTTAGGTGTATTACAGATTGTCAAAAAATAGATAATAACTGACATAGACAACTATGTAGAAAGTCTCACAACACTACTCCTGGAGAGCTACGAACAGTCCTGTCCCCTCACCATACCTAGATGGGGAGGGAAGCAACACTGGTGGTGCCCCGAACTCGAGAGGCAACGCCGGAAAGTCAGGAAACTGTTCAATAGGGCTAGGAATAGACGAACGCAGGTCGACTGGGACGCCTACACGGCGTCCCAGTCGACCTGTCGGTTTCCGTGGGCGCGGCATTGGATTTCGCCTGGATTGATACCTCAGCCTTAGGCGCTGAAGCTGTGGCTTCTGCACTGCGAAGGTTGGGGTCCTCAATTTGCCTAGCGGCATCAGCTGCCGCAGCACGCTGCGCCACCGCTCTGGCTTTTTTTAGGCGTCGTTTTTTGGACGCTGTCAGATGCTCTGTAAAGACACCCTCCTGCTGAATGGCGTCTTTCAGAGCTGACATGTCCATTGTTGTTTCGTTTATGGTTTTGGAGGTTGAGGGCATGTTCCTATTTAATCTTCCCAAGGAGGGTTGACGTCAGGCAGGCGGCCGGTCGTAAAATTTTTGCCAAATCCTATCAGCAGTACACTGAAGATGTACTGCGCCGACCCCAAGTGATTTGGGAAATGGGCAGGGAGAAGAAGAAGAAAAAGACAGATTGTCAAAAATATCCAGATGAATGTATCAGGTAAGCGTTTATTAAGCCCCCATGAGCTCTTTGTTTACCTTTAACTACTTCTTCTTCTTCTCCCTGCCCATTTCCCAATCACTTTGGGTCCGCGCAGTACATCTTCTGTACTGCTGATAGGATTTGGCAAAAGTTTTACGACCGGTCGCCTGCCTGACGTCAACCCTCCTTGGGAATTACCTTTAACTACTTAAACCTATAAATATTATTATTTTCTGGCTGATGTACCTATCTGTGGTGTTTTATTATGATCGATTTTTATCTTCAAAAATAGTTAGTAGGCTATGGTATGGGAGATATGACGTAGGGCTGAAGCCTTTGAAAATGGTAAAAAGTAAAAAAAATAATAATAGTAGGATGAAACCTATTGGAAAAGGAAGACAATATAACAAAAATGAAAGGAAAAATAATTTACGGGCGATCTAAGGTCGGGAAGTGGGAGGGCGTGAGTTTATAAGGGTAAAAAACGGCTTATCTCGATTTCCGGCAAAACTACAAGTCCTATGGAAAAAAGTTAAATGCCAAAGTTGCACGTAATAAAAATATCTATATCTTTTGTATTTACAATTTTTTCACATAACCTCAAAATTTATGTGATAAATTAAAATAACCAAGTTTTTGGTTTTATATTTTTATCTTTTACAAAAAAAAATCTTTTCACTAAATTTTGTGAAAACTCACCTTTTTATGCCAAAAAAGTACTGTAATTTTTTTTTATTTAAAATATTTATTTGTTCACCTTATTTTGACTTAATATCGAAAAAGCACCTTAATTTTCAATCGAAAATTCTCGCGTCAAAATATCTGCAAATGCAAAAAGTATAGGCCAGACTCTCCTAGCCCCTTTCCTACTTTTCTATGAAATACCTTTTGATGGGCTAAAATTTTCCGTAGTTCGCTCAGGTGTATGAGTTATCTTAAAATAGCAATAATTTTTTTTTTGTTGGGACATTAACACACAGCGCCATCTAGTTCCATGGTAAGCTACGAGGCTTGTGTTATGGACACCAGATAGTTGATACACTACATATATATAACTTTTTTTAAATACATACATATTATAAATATAAACACCCATGACTGGAGTACAAACATTCGTGCTCATCACACAAATGAATGCCCCCAGCGGGACTCGAACCCGCGACCGCTGGCACATCAAGTAGGGTCACTACCAACTGAGCCAAACGTGTCGTCAAATCTAATTTAAAAAGGCATCTAATTAGAGAAGACTACAACTTTCTTAAAATATTGTAGATGTCTTATTAAATATTAATTTTATTAATTGCATTTTCTGAGAAAATGCAGCCGGAGACATACATAATATGTATGTGCATACATCTTGCGGCAAGGACGAAACGTGTATGTCTCCGACTGCATAATACTTTATTTCTTCGTTAACTTGTTTTCATCTTTTATGTTTTGTAGCTTTTATGCAGTCGAGTTTTTTATTTTTATAATATATAGGTAGGTATATTTTGTAAATAAGCATATATGCAATTTTAGATATGCCGTTTAGATTTGCTTGGAATTAAACGTTAGAAACTATTTATTGGAGTCTATATTCTGATACAATCATTGTTTTTGAAAAATATTTCATGTACAGATTTCGCTACGTTACTATTTTATTATATGCATAGATTGATGAAAATAATAAAAGTAAATGATTAAAATAAAACACCAATTCATATACATAAACAAAAAAGGAAAGTTAAATTACTACGCAAATTTTTAGTAATTCAGGGACGGGGAAGTACTAGAATTGGAATCGATAACGGGGAAATTAAACGTGCTACTGCAAAATAAACAGTTGATTTTGTTCAATTATGGAATAATTTATTTGATGGTCTTAAGGTTAATTCATTAGATTGAGGCTTAGAGTCGTTAAGAAATAATTATGGTTTTTTTTGTCAAGAGCTGCTAAATCAGTCCGTAGTTCGGAAAGTAGCTGGATTGCACATCCTTATATTGAAGGATTCCTAACACAAAAATTGCTAGCCTTATATATGCGCCCTACAGGGCTCACGGCCAGGCGGGTTGGTGACATCGAATTATCCCAGACGCTTGACTACGTTGTAACTCTGACAAAATCGCTACAAAGTATAGCCCAAACAGCTCGAAACAGCCTAATAAAGTTGGTGGTCCTATATCTGACTTATCTCTACTTTCGGATTGTCACTCTGTAGGGCCATGAGACAAGACCATAATAGGTTGTTTTTCACTTAACTGCTTCTGTAACTAAAATCTTTTGCCAGGATATTCAACATTTTTATTAAATCAATCTTATTTTCAAACAGTGAAAACCTGATAGAGCGTACAGCAGATATTATGTTACGAGAAGGTTATTTAGACGCTGGATATAATTACGTGGGGATAGACGATTGTTGGCTAGAGAAAGATCGGGATGAAAATGGCCGTCTAGTTCCTGATCGGGAAAGATTTCCTAATGGCATGAAAGCCGTTGCTGATTATGTACGTAGCATTTGTTAAATTATTAGTTTTTTTTTGAAACAATTTATCTTTAATATAATAAAAAATTAAGGGTATTGTAAGGTCATACAACATACGTTTAATACACAGGTATTGTAATATCATAATTATTGTATGCATATTATGTAATAAATAAAATAAAATAAAATAAAAATCTTTATTCGGTATCTCAAAAATTTTACAATAGCTGATAAGTGATTGGGACCTCCTTTTAAGCGCACAAGCACTTGTGTTAGAATAACCGCTCTTCCATACATATCTGCTCTCATTACATAAGTGTACTAACGAATAATTACTACTGTATAGATACTTGTACTAGTTAAAAATTTTACAATAAGCTAAGTTTTACAATATACAATCTAAGGTGAAAAGTATGTGAATATTGGTATATGTGTATGTATGTGTATGTGTGTATGTGTGTGTATGTGTGTTTATGAGAATGAAAGTTCATGACTGATTTTAGAATTTGACTGTGTTTAATAGTGTATTATGATTTATGATTACCTACACAAGGCTTCAGTGTCGTCATAGTTCAATATTTTCAGGATGTTAAGTAGAGATGTTTTACATTCATGCTTATTCAGTGTATATATTTAATATTTAATTTAATTTATTGTAATATATAATAATTATGTATTATTATATTTTAAATATTACTGAAAATAAAATTTTAATACATTTGCTGCAATATTTTCTAATTCACGAAATAAATTGCTTTGCAAATTGTCGTTATGGGTTTAGCAAAATATTTATCATACTCGCTAATGGTTCTGAGGTACATATTTTGTAATACCGACTGTACACTCTCGCCGATACGCGGAGTGCGAGAGTGTAATGGCTAGTACTCGACTTTCCTCGGTGTGTGAGGCGAGACTATCCTCACCTTCGCCTCACCTGATTAATTCTGCGTTCATTTTTCCTCGAGAAAAAGGGTCTTAGATACCATCGTGGTCAGTCTCTACCTTGTAACAGAATAAACAAGAGCTCTCGGTGTACTCGTCGCACTTGGACGGGAGTGTACAGCCGCCTTAAGGTCTTAGTTTATCTTAATATATCATGATTACCAGGAAACAATGTGAACTAATCACACGTATTTGTGTACAATACATATATACATATATATAATCTTATTATATTTACTTTAACTGCCCCGGTTGTGTAGTGTGCATGGCTGCACATCCGGATGTCTTGGGTTTGAGTTCCGGGTCGAGCCAAGTATATTTATAGAATCTTTATGTTTAGTATGCCTCAGTAACAACAGCCTAGAGTTGCGAAGTTGGCAGTGTTTCACCCCCGTACCCCTGAGAGCACGTTAAGTCGTCGGTCCTGCGCTTTAACTCTCACTGGTCATGTCAAGTATTCCTCCCACCGGAGTATGAGAGTGAAAGGAATAGAGAGTCCACTTGTATCTGCGCGCACATGTGTGCACTATAATATCTTCTGCGCAGATGAATAGTCTCAATGAGATTGGCCGCCGTGGCCGAAGTCGGTCAGAAGGACGTTATTATATTTACATTTTAAGTTTGTTTTGTATGATTTGATTAATTATTTTTTATTTTTTGCAGCTTCATGAAAGAGGTTTTAAGTTTGCTTTATACCAAGATTATGGTAGCAAAACGTGTGGAGGCTACCCTGGTGTACTGGGTCATGAGGAAAATGATGTCAAAACATTTGCCGATTGGGGTGTTGATTACATAAAATTAGATGCATGTAATGTTGATGTAACTAAATATGATTTTGGTATGATATAAAAATTTATTATTTTTTAGTGTAAAACCTTAAATGTAGCAATCATTTGCTACATTCATAAACTTCATAGTCTTTTTAGTGACGATGTATGCCTTAATGATCTTAAGATATTTTGAAATATAGGTTCTTATAGCTACAAATATTTAGAAAAATTAAATTAGTGTGTGCTTCTTATTTCTTCACGCTAAGACGGCTGGACGGATTTGGATGAAATTAATGATTATATGAATAGTCTACGACTTGGGCTAACAGACATATAGACACTTAGGCAAAAAGATCTTAGGGATGCACCCGAGTAACGAAGGGGAAGAAGGGTCACTGGTTATAGCATATTTGTTTAATTTTGCAATCTTTGTAAAAATGTTATAAATATTTTGCAGGTTATCCCTATTTTGACAGATTAATGAATGAAACTGGAAGGCCTATGGTCTATTCGTGTAGTTGGCCAGCTTATCAAGAGAAGGTAGATATTATGAAGAGATATACTAAAATAAATGATTAATTAAATTTAAATTATAGTTTAGTCTTACCGTTGTGATTTTGGTCGATTTAATGAAAAGTGAATAGTATCAAATGTACCTGATACATAAACGAATAATGTGATGCAATGCAATTAGATTAGAATTGATAAATAAAATCGTGTGTTTTACATACTTTACTTAGATTTATTAAAACGTAACTTTGGATATAATACCAATTGGTTTTAATTTTATTAATAAAAAATAAGTATAGATTAACTATAATTTTAATCTTTGAAAAAAATATTTTAGCCAGATTACTCTTCCATTGCAAAGCATTGCAACTTATGGCGGAATTATGGTGACATCGAAGACTCATGGAGTTCCTTGATCCAAATCATGACGTGGTTCGCTGAACATCAAGATGAATATGTTCAATATGCTGGACCAGGCAATTGGAATGATCCTGACATGGTATACCTTTTTTTTTACGTTGGGAAATGCATTTACGCACGAGGTGTGGGACTCACCGGCAAAGCCAGTACTACCCACTAAAACCCAACAAAGCCTTCCCCCGTCTTAATGGGGCGTCGCAGGATCGCTTACGCATTCAACTACAACGCCCCGACGGCAGGTCTGCCAAAGCAGACCACAACAACCACGGGGATGCTCCAAGGTCCACTCTGCTATCAGAGAAGTACCAGGAGCAACCCGCATGGTACACCGCCCTCCAAAGAGGGCCACCTCCCACCGCCCACCGAAGTGGGCCACCTCCCTGTGCGTTTCTTGGCTTCGCGCCCGGTTGGGTTGCCGGGCACTACTGAGCCCCCCCACCACGACAAGGTGAACGCACGTTGGGGGGGGGGGGACATGGTGTACCTACCTCAATTCCATCAAAACCATAAATGTAAAAATGGAGGCCAAGTTCAATATTAAGAATATGCGTAGTTGTCGACTCCGCTGCCAAAAGAATTGAGATCTATGGGGTCCCAAGTTCAGTAGACAATCCTGAGAGCTTATTTATAAGAACATACAACATTCCAAAAAAAATTTAAAACACAATTTCTTATTTTTTTTCCTACTACAACAATATTTGTTATTTATAAATATCTATAACTTTTTAAATTTAAGCAATTGAGTTATTTACCAAAGCAGATTAACTTAGGATAAAATGAAGTTGAACATTTGACTTGGCTAGTTTTAACATACGAGTTATCTTATTGGCTACAAAATTGGCTTCCATTTTCACATTTATGTTTATGATAGGATATCATTTCTTTTTGTAAATAAACAATTATTATTCATAATTCAAAAGTGATTTATAAAATTAACAGACTTTTACTATTTTCAAATATAAGTAAGAATGTATTTCTTTCGTAATACAATAATAATTGTTCACAATGATGTCAGTTCGCTGAGCAGGCGCTACCAATTTATGTAATTATTGGTTGTCTAAATTTTATATATATACTGGTATACAAAACGATAAAAGCGACCTTTCATCATGAAATCTATTCTCCTGCGAAAGAAAAAAATTTTGCTATTGTAATTTCGAAATGCTTTAGGCGCTAGGTGTTAATAAAAGTCGATTACCTGGAAAATATTTCAAATCATAAAAATTCACTGTTTCGGATTTTTTCCTTTAATTTCGATTCTCTAAGTCATCTGGAAGTTTTTGATCTATATGTCAGTCCGTGATAAAGAAGCCGATTTTTGGACGTTAATATCTCAATAAGCATTTAAGCACTATTTATGAAATTTAGGTTTTAGTTAATCTAAGGGGATTTAATAAATTAACCAAATTTCGTGTGCTTATTTAAAATAAATTTTGAATTATTAAGAGGTCAAAAACATGGCTGCAGCGTCGCGAGTTCCTTTGTTTTGAATTTGGCTTGACATGCTACCGCGTGTGTAGATGCTTCATCTTTTTACTATATCATATACTTATTAATATTAAGCTTTTAGTACTAATGTTACTATAAATTCAATTTTAAATTTATCTTGGTGTATTAGCCACGTACCCTCGCTTCGCTCAGATGCGGAGGACATAGGGATATGTGCCTAACGTAGTCTACGTATTACTTTAGGTCGTGAAGGAGTAATAAACATACACACATACACTTTGGCGTATATAATAATAGTCCGATTATTATTAGTCTTATTTTATCACAATAACTATAAATGTATTGTTTTTCAGCTCATAATAGGCAATTATGGATTATCTTTGGATCAAGCGAAAGTGCAAATGGCAGTGTGGTCGATATTACCTGCACCGTTACTTATGAGTGTTGATTTAGCTAAAATCAGACAAGAGTATAAAATATACTTCTAAATAAAGAAATTATAGCAATTGATCAAGATTCATTGGCAAAGCTAGGTTTGCGAGTATGGAATAAATTTAATTGCGAAGTGAGTATAGTAATATGTATCTATATTAATAAATGGAGAGCCGATTTTTTTGTTTGGTTATACTGCGATAACTACTGAACCGATCGGAATGATACTCATACCATAAAATGCAGCGTGTTTCGGAGAAGGTTTAGTTTATGATATGTTGGTGATTAATGTTCTATGCGGGCGGAGCTGCAGGTAAACGCTAGTATTCATATAAGGTAGGTACCTACAATTTCTTATTGTGCTTTATTAGCTTATCTGGTAAGAGCACGATACAAAAGTAATTTTGTAAAAACTTCATTTGAAAGACAATATAATAATTTTATGCCATTTATCTTATGGGATGAAAGGATGAGCCGATGAGGATGTAGATAGAACCCAAACAGAAAGGCAGAATTTAGATAGTGGTTAGTCAAACATCAACTTCAAGTAGGTAGCCCGTAGCCAAATAACTAAAGAAAGCGAGATATTAGAAAATTAACGAAGAAGTCGGGACAGTTCTCTAGTATTCTTAAGTAGATAAGTTATTTTTAGTAATTATTTTTATCCACCCAAGATTTGGACCAGAAAGCTGTCAGATGAATCCTACGCAATCGCATTTGTGAGCCGGCGATACGACGGCGCACCGTACTCTTTAAAAGTTTCCTTCGAAGAAATGAAAATTCCAATACAGTCATATAAAATTCAGGTATTTTTTGTAACTCCTTTTACTATTATTTTAAAATTAGTAATTATATAATAAATTTGGAAATTAAATAATAAGCATAAATAATAATATAATTAATTTAAACATAACAAGGAAAATGAACAAGGTGTCATAATATGTAGGAAGCTTCGTCTAAGGAAATTACAACAATTATTATTATCTATACTATTTTAGTAATAAATGTATAAGTGTATCTATCAATATCGATACTGTTTTATTTATAAACTAGCGACTCACCCTCAGTTCGTTCGGGTTCGTCCTTTGGTACGTTTTAACGGTTAGTATGGAATACGTAGACTACTTATATATTATATGATATATAACCTACATCCTTCCTCAACAAATGGGCCATTTAAGGCAAAAAAATTTTTCAAATCGGATTAGTAGTTGCTGAGATTAACGCGTTCAAACAAACAAACTTTGCTTCTTTTTAATATATATTATCCGCATATTTTTAGGATCTTTATAAAGAAGAAAAAGAGCGCATTTTTGGACCAAAAGGTGACTTCGGGACGAGAATTAATCCGTCAGGTAAATTGATTTATTGACATTAATTAATTTGGACAATTTTTTTTAGTTTATGGATATTGCGGAACGTAAATAGGCTATTTTTTATACCCCTTAAATGTCCACTGAAATAAGAATACAATAAGAAATACAAAAAAAATATTAAAAAATATTATTTAGAAAAATTAAAACCCCAACTGCGTAAAAAGCCAACTAAAAATATGGGAACAAGTTGACGAATTTGATTTCTATTTATTTCTAGCATTATCGCACTCCTTATCATTGATATGATATATCTTGATAAGTTATCAAGACGAATTTAACGATGTATGAATCATCAAAATTGGTAAAGCCGTTTAGTAATTATTACGAGGGAACTTAGTATCGGACGTACATGCATATGGTGTTTATAATTAGCACAGGCATACGTTAATTTATGTAGACATCTTTCATGAATTTAAGGCTTAAAAACAAATAATTCCCATTTCATAGTAGATATAAATTTTAAATTTAAAAATATATGCCATTTAGTAATAAATAATAATTATCCTCTCGATATTATCAATGAGTTCACAAAGTCTCTGAAATATTGACATGCATGATGCAACACTGCCAAGTGCCAGCTCCCTAGAACGAGGCTGCTGTTTGGTATTTACTTACTATTTTATTTTGTTACAGGTGTAAAGTTTTACAAGTTTATTCCGCAGAAATGTAATAGGGTGAGGAATCTACATCAAAATAAATATTAAAAATAGCAAGAATTGTCAATGGGTTAAGAAATGCAGTCGAAAACATACAATACACGTGGCAAGGCTCGCAGCAGATATGTATACATACATATTATGTCTCCAATTGCGTAGTACTGTTTCTTAGTCAACTTGTTCTCATCTTTTTAGTTTGCTTTTTATGCAGTTGGGTCTTTTATTTTTGGAAATTATTTTTTTATTTACAGCTTTTTAGTTTTAGAGGGTTGTATTTTTGATGTTTATAGTGTTATTTAACAATTTCTTATCCTAAATTATTTTTAAACATATAAGTTCTGTATATTTTTGTAATTTCATCTTAAAACCCTGTATTTTGATACCCTACTTGATTGAATCGGACGATTTAAAAAAAATATATTGGCGCCTAGGATCCGCCATTTTGATTTTTAATATCTATATACCATATGACACTCGCGTTATCAAGACGAATCTAACGACGTATGAATCGATCTTCGTCGAACGTTTAGTAATTAGTAATTACGAGGGAATATAGAGTCGGACATACATAAATAGAGAAAAAAAGAAAAAAATTGCCAACGTCAAAACAAAATTCATTGTGTAACCAAAATTTATTTTAAAATGTAACCGAAAATAACATAAAAAATTTGAGTAATAGTATAAAAAAATGTTTTAAAAGTTCCGCGATACCATTCAGACAAAGAGAGATAATAGCATTCCCAAGGAGGGTTGACGTCAGGCAGGCGTGAGGCGGCCGGTCGTAAAACTTTTGCCAAATCCTTTCAGCAGTACAGAAGATGTACTGCGTCGACCCCAAGTGATTGGGAAATGGGCAGGGAGAAGAAGATAGAGTCGGACATACATACATACAGGTTGAACAAATAACCCTTCTTTGGGCTTCGACGCAGTCTGGTAAAAAAAACAATAAATACTATTTATATTTTATGTAATTACATAAAATTATTATTGATATAATTATATTTTATGTAATAAAGTACGCACGATGCTTAATAGCGGAAACCGTCCAGTTACTTTTTATGCATATCAAACTGAAAAGTATTCGCATGTTTCTTTATAATATGAGGTTTACCGTTTACTATGTAAGATCTATTTATGGCAAAATAGTACCTATTAAATTTGAAATCAAAGAGCTAATCTTATATTGGAGTCGGAAGGTGGCCATAATCATTTTTAATCTACACAAAATAGTTTTGTCATTCTCGGGCTTGTTTCTATTTAAGTTATACCCATTTGATGTACAAAAAATATATTTTCAAACTAAAATTGACGAATTTTAGATAAAATGAATTATAAAAACAAATATATACATATAATATGCAATGACGAAATAAACACTTTATCACTATGTTATCTTTTTATGTTATTTAAATACCCTTCTTTATTGTATCCTTTAATTTCCTATATGCTTACTGAAATTATAGATCGTAGTATTGAAACTGTTAGATTGTTACAGTTTCACACTTTAAACTTTTAAATGGAGGATAAAAGTCAAATTATGGTAATGTGCAGGAACTACTTACTCATGATGGTTCTCAATCATCATGGTTTTTATGTAAATTAGTATGAATACTGTACTGAACCTAGAATACGGTAACATAATGTGGAACGTAGAATTAGTTGTTAGTAGTTATCTAGAATTTCTTTAGTTTTAAATGAAAAAAAATAATAAACAAGTTATTTAATTATAATTCTAATCAGTCTGTAATTGACGCAATTAAATTATTTTATGCCGCTTACCCTTGCTTGGCCCGAGTTCGCCTCTAGAAAAACAAAAACAAATCTATCCCTCGGGAACCGTACATTTTTCCGGAATAAAAAGTAGCCTATGTGCTATTCCAGACTATAATCTATCTCTGTGCCAAATTTCATCCAGATCTATTCAGCCCTTCTAGCGTTGAAAGAGTAACAAACATCCATACTCACAAACTTTACATTTACATACATTATTTATATACAGATAGATAAAAAAGTAATGAATGAAGTTTAATTATAATCAGCTATGAGACCATCGAGGTAGTTTTTTTACATATCTTTAGTTCTATATCACATATGAAATAACACCTACTATGCTAGTTCTATTCTGAATGTTACCAAGTTTAGTAGTAGATAAATATTTTATTTAAAACTAGGTGATTCTTAAAATTAACATAATTTTTTTATTTATGAATCGATTGAAATAAAACATATTAAATCTAAAAATACTAAATGTTAAGTGAAGCTTACAATGGATTAGTGGAAACCGCACCCTGAGATTAGCGCGCACAAACGCACAGACGAACAGACAAAAAACCTAAAAATCATAGTTTTGGATTCTATTGCGTTAATAAAGACCCCAATAATAGTTTTTCTAAATTATCTTCCATGTACAGACAGCGATCAGTTACACTTTTATTATATGTAACATATATAGATCACAAAGACATAAAACGAAGTTATTTATTTTCTCTATTGTTACATTTTATTAATGAATGTATAACAGGATATTATGAATAGGAATATTTTATTGTGAACTTCTAAACTAGTTACTATTTACGGTTTCACTTGTGTTTTTTAACTTTTTCTATTTAGTTTAGAAGCTACGACTATATGTTTGTATCTGTCTGATAGGGTAGATGCAATCAAAGTTGTATTAAAAGTTGTCAAGCTGTTCGTCATCATATAACATTATATGCTATTTTTATATTTAGTTATATTAAACAGTCTAGATTCATCCTTATACGTTTTAAGTATATACGTTATTTACGCCCTGTACCCTGAATTGGAAATATGTGACTCCAGTAAATATAGTGATATCTATACATATTATATACCTAATAAAATTCCGAGTCGAATCTATATATTAAATATTTTTTGGAAAATCTTATTAAAATAGTAATTATTATCAATACAGAGGCTGAATCTATAGTTTTTAGAATTTTTGTCTGTCTGTGACCGCATCACGGAAAACCACTGAAGGCATTTTGATGTATGATGTTAGCTGGTTATCCGGATCAACATATAAGATAATTTTTACTGCGAGAAAATATCTCGTCTTTGAGAAATCTATACTAAACGTTAAAACGTAAGTAGGGACCAACCCGTGAGGATCGAGGGTGAGTCACTAGTTTAAATTATATAATACGCCACCTATCGTGCATTACAAACACCTAAGGGAGCCCAAGAGGGGATTTTCTGTAGTTACTCGAGCGCGGCAGATTAACATAAAAGAGGTTACCTTGCACTCTATTGAGTACTTTCACCACAATATAAGTCTTCTATATAAAGGGGGCGCGTCTAGGGAAGCCGATTAAAATATTTAAAAAATGTTTTGATAATCGACTATAAAGTTTATGATGGTTTTTGCCTCTTAGGTTTGTGCAAATCGGCAGATTATTAAATTGGACACTTTTCAGGATGTGACTAGCCTACCACACCTTAATCTGACGGTTTCAAGTATTTCTACCTTATCAAAACATTTTTTAAATATTTTATTCGGCTTCCCTAGACGCGCTCCTTTATATAGAAGACTTATATTGTGGTGAAAGTACTCAATAGAGTGCAAGGTAACCTCTTTTATGTTAATCTGCCGCGCTCGAGTAACTACAGAAAATCCCCTCTTGGGCGACCCTACTATAAATTAAGCACCGGATGTATAGAGTATCTCTTTAGACTGCAAGTACTTCCCTTTAGGCACATCAATATTTGTTATCAATTTATTAATAAATTTTAATTGTAAATTTTAATTTATAAATAATTTTAATAATTACTAGTTGTAACTACGACATCGCGTGGATGTCAGAAAAAAAATGTGTCGCGTGATCTGGCCTGGTAATTTTTCTAGTGAGAAGCGCAGCTTAGGGATATTGCTTGCTTTTAAGAAAATGCTTCTCTGTAAACGATATTGGTGACCATCTGGAGAGTACACAAAAAGGCTAGGGTTGCTTATGCGCAATAACAATTTAGATAACTTTTACCCGTAATAAAGCATGCTACGTACAAAAGAAAATATTTTTTGAACTTATATATTTTTTTATCATACTAAAATAATCTTGAACTATTAAAATTCTGTATCTATATCGGAGACGATCGATAACTTGCATGAATTGTCTTTTGATAGATATCAAAGAATGCATAAGTCATAACCTAATCGAAAATTATCGAAAATTAGTGATCGATCAATTTTTTAGGGTTCCATAGCTAAATGGCTAAAACTTAGCACATCGCCGTTCGTCATGACCATTTTAGTCTAGTTCTATTCGAGTTACCTATTATATAGATCTTGTGCCCTCGGAACAGGTAGTTAAGGGAATTCTCTTTTATAACCGACTTGCAAAAAGGAGGACGTTCTATGTTCGTCTGTATTTTTATTTTATTTATGTTCACTGATTTCTCGGAGATGGTTTGACCGATTTTGCTACTTTATACGGTATTGTAGTAGGTAAAGAGAAACTCCCAAATATTGCTGAACTCAGTAGGTAGTTATCTCATGCAAAATTGGTAAAAACAGCATTATCTATTTGGTTTTAAAATATGTATGGAAGATGACTTTTGCGATTGTAAATAGAAAAAAAACCAAAAAAAGTGTCATGGCTAATAGGGTGGTTTCACCTGTTTTCGGCCATTTAAACAAACGTATGACTACGAAACTATTTTTTTCGATGATACTAAGGTCGCAGATAAGTTTTCCAAATATTTTCGAACTCAAAAGATATGATAATGTAGTTTTGATATTTGTAGCCCCTTTACTTGACAATGTCATATTAAAATTACTAGAAACTAAAATCTCTGAAATTTGCTATTTAGTCTGTTTTCGGCCACTAAATTTGGTTTCCGGCCATTAATTTGTTTAGTTCTCGGCCCCCATTTAACAATTTGAAAAATTATCTCTATTTGTTCTTGAATAAGATTTATACTACAGTAAAACGAAATAATACATACGAATCAAAAATTTTAATTAAATTTTCACACTATAACAATATTTTTAGGAACATTTTTGTACTATAACAGTAGATCTTAAATTATATAAAAAAAAGAAAATAATAATATGGAAAAAATATAGATGATCACGAATTTAATATTTTGAATTACGTAATCAAAAAATATCAAATTCGTGATCATCCTCATCTTCTTCATAAATATCGTATCTCTTAAAAGTTTCATCGCTGGGAATGGTTTTAGTTACATCTATAGCTGTTTCACTTTTATGAGACATTTCTTTATCAATCTTATCTTCACTTATTTTATTTATTTCTTTTATATCAACTTTCTTTATAATATTCAATTTATCAGTCTTTTCGATTACTTTAGTCTTCTTAATATTGATTTCTATATCTTTATCGGTATTTATAATATCACTATCACTTTCTTTGGCTTTTGTTTGTTTTCTTTTTGGGATATTAGGTTTTATATTGTTTCTATTAATGATCTTAAGTTTTTTGCGGATTCAGTTCGGTTTTTTTGTTCTCTGTCCGCTTTCCTCTTATTTTTTTCGTTTATCTTGTTTTGTTTTTCTTTTTCTTTAAAATCGTGAAAATCTCTCCAAGCTTTTGAAGATATGGCACTAGGAAATTTATGAATGTTTTTCTTAGTAGTTTTTTTCCCAGATGGACTAATGGGAAATGTTAAATGATTTTTAAATGGATCAATTTGCGTATCATTTTGGAGAGTACACGAAGTGTTTACAAAATTTTCTTTATTACAATTTACGTCATTACATTTTTGATGGATCGATTTTTTTGGAGACGATGGGTTATTGTGATCTTCAGCTACTGCTATAACTTTTGACGTAAATTCTACATTATTATTTTGAATAGGTAGCGATTCCTGTGCTAAATAATGCTCTTTATCTCCTTTACAAACGTGGTCTATAATTTGTATAGTATTTAAGTCTTCAAAATCTATGTCAGTTATTTTTAAAACAGAAATATCACTGATTGATACGTAAGATCCAATATCAGGAATTGAACTATTAGTAAGCAAAGAATAGCCTTCATTATCATTACCTCCTACAGTGATATCTATAACTCCTCTTTCAATCAAAAATCATTCAAGATCTGAAAACCATTTTCTGATTAAGCTCTCTCTGACCGCCTCTCTGTCTTTATTAATACTTTCAGGTTCACGTACGCTAATCTCCGGATGCCTTCTAAGAAAATTTTGGTACCATGTCTGTCCCAGTCGCCCTTCTGGAAACTTATTTTCTCTTCCAATATTTTTAATTATTTTTGCAACATTTTCCAGCAATACCTCTTTGCTCACAGGAATCCCACATTTGGCTAATTCTGTAATCCAGTCTACAACTTTTTGCTCACCATCAATGCCTAGTATAGGCTCTGGACCTACTTTTCGAGGTTGTTCTTTAGATCTGCCGGAAATTCGATCTTGAACTGTTGAGCGAGGGACACCATAGTGACGGCAGGCCTCTCTGACGCTTTTATTTTCTGTTCTTATGGCCTGGACAGCTTGTGCCAATGCTTCTTCAGTATATTGGAAATGAATCCTCTTATTTTTAATAGTATGTTTAAGTTTATTTCTCCCAGGAGGCATCTAAAAGTAAAAGTAACATTATTATTACTACAATATGGCTTACACGCGATTTTATCAGTGTAAGTCTCCAAAACTATGCTACAGAATTACCTATCAAGATAATAAAAAAATATATTAAAAAAATAAAAAAAACCCGACTTCATAAAATCTTACTAAAAAGATGAAAACAAGTTGACAAAGGAATATAGTATTATGCAGTCGGAGACATAAACATATACATATCGCGACAAGGATGAAACGTGTATGTCTACGACTACATAATACTATATTCATTCGTCAACTTGTTTTATCTTTTTAGTTAGCTTATATGCAATCGGGTTTTTTATTTTTTGTTTTTTCAAATAGGTCTGAAAACTAACTGTATGTTAACTAATTTTCGGCCACCTGCTTTATTACTGGCCGTAAACTAAGTTTTTATGAACTGATTTATCGGCATATTATTAGTTTTCGTCCATACCCATTATACCTAGGCCGAAAAGTAATTATAACAACTCTAATTTTCGGCTGCCAAATACAAAATAACAAAAAAATATTTTTCACCAAATATTAACTCATAACATGCGGCCGAAATCTGACTACATAAATGAGGGAAGCTTATATTTTGTTTTAAAAAAAATTTTTTAAACGTATTCCTTAAATATTATATAATATAATCTATTATATTTACAAAGCTATCTTTTAGTTTTCGGCATGCCGGGCGAAAAGCAGATGGCCCCCCAAAACCTTATCTAGTTACCCGACCATCAAATTTAAATATATAAAACCTTATCTTTCATCCATTTTAATTAAAATAATACAAATTCAAATAATCACCAATTCAGAGTAATAACAATTATCTTTATCAAACCTTAAACAATTTAGTAACTTACCTTGCAAAATTTTCTTACGCCCTATTTTTTTTGTTATTATTATGACACACGTGCACTACTCGACTTTCGGAGGCCCACTGACGAGACAGTTGGATCATTATAATGCAACAAAGTTCAGAAGGCGTAGGTTTGATTGGAAAAAATATATTTGACGTTGATTTTTAAATGAGGAGAGTAATGATTTCTTATTATCATCATAAAACTACGTCTTGGCCGAAAACCAGAGGTGGCCGGCAAACCGGCTAAGCTACCCTACTATGTTAAAAATACCAATTTCAAAGGAAAACACCTAATAAAATTCCATACAAGAATTAAACCTGAATCACAACTTTTAATATTGTCATTTTTTAAAAAACTAAGTATCTTTTTATTTTTGGTTCTGGACGTTTCGAATGCTTTACAGCAGACATGGTCTTCCCGGTGACCATCAAAAATCAAAAGAAATTCGTGAAAAAAGCAAAAAAGATTTTATTTCAAATATTAAATATTCGTAAATCCAACAAAACATTATTTTAATTATGTTTTGTTACTAAATTTAAAATTTTAATACGCATCATTCTTCTTTAGCTTATTATTTTACAACTTTAAGCTGTTATAATCCGCTACAATTACGATAAATATTGATGATAAAAGTTATTCATTGATATTACGGGAGACATTTTCTAGTTTTAACTAGTTTACTTATTTTCCACGTCATTAGTCATCACTTTGGCGAGTTTTAGAGATGTTCCTCTGTTTTTAAGAGCTTCACTAAATAATTTTTAGAGTAGGTAGGCTCTCGTTCAGTAGGTTATTATCCATTGGCGAAGAATGCACGTACCTACCAGAAAAATTATTTAAAAATTACCACGAGATGGCCCTATATGACATCGTCATTTGTCAGCATGAGAGGGGAGAGAAAAAAAGGCTTTTTTTGCGTACGTTTTTTTTAGAATAGATGCCTATTTAGATAAACTTAAAAAACAAGACCTTATCTAAATACAAAATTTAATCCAAATCCTTAGAGCCGTTTTCGAGATGCACGAAGTAAGTTTGTATATATACAAGAATTGCTCATTTAATTATTATACAATAAGATACCTATTAAATTGATATTATATAATTAAAATATTTGATATTTGATTAGAGTTTCTTTTTTTTAATATTGTCTATTTCTTATATTATAGCGTTTAAAAGTACGAGCTGAGTATATTTGATTTTAAACTGAATAATAATACGTATGTTAGGGCATACATATCATATATCATACATTAACTTTTTTCATTTTTGTTTTTCATTGTATGTACAAAACAAATGTACAGTGTATACTTAACCAACAGAGGCGCGGCTTCGCCCGCGATCGAACTACGAAAAAAAAACTTTTTCGCAATTATTATTACTTGCGAAAATAAGTTTTATTATTTCTTAAAAATATATGGAAAACAAATTTAATTTTAACGATCCTAACTCAAAATATCCAGTATCTTAAAAATATAATAGTTTCTTAGATTTATGGTAGGGGAGCCCACGAAGCTAAATGGGGATTTACTCGAGCGTCGTAGAGACCTATTGGGATGCAAAGCTTAGATGATAAGAAGAAAAAAATGTTATATGATATATACCTTTACATCGGTGGGGGAAGCGTCTATAGATTTTTAAATATGTAAAAAAAAACTGTTGCATAGACATCCTCGAGCGCGTCAGATATTGATAGCATAAATGCCCTACGTATTTTTAATAATGTACGTATGTTAATCTGATCGTTTGCATGATGCGGGTGGTTGTATTTAAGGGTTGAAAATGAAAAAAAAAAATTTAATCGAGCGCGTCAGATTTTCTAAGGGAGTGTTAAGTGCACCAAAAAAAAGCTCTCATTCACTAATCTGACGATTTCGATGGGACGCAAACTCGCGGCCATTTTCATAATGTGCAAAAAAAAAATCGCCATTTTGTAATACTCAAGCGCGTCAGATTAAGATATATATGGTTCATCTTTATGTTCTAAACGTACTGTCTCATAATCTGACGATTATCTAGAGGGATTCGCCTGATCTGACAAAAAAAAATTAGAAAAACGGTTCACCTTAAAGGCCATACCTGCAACTTCCCGCTAATTCCATTCCTGTGCGCTTAAAATTGTACTTATGGCATTTTTGAGCTCAAAATATAATTTATGTGATATTTTGAGCTCGCAGAGTTCAAAGAAATAATATTTCTATGCATTTGAGCTCTCCCAGCTCGAAAGTCTGATAGAAGTTTCATGGAACACTATTTTTGGAATTTTCAAACTGCAATAACTTTTGAATAATTCGAAAATTCGAATTATTCGAAAGTTCCCGAATAGTTCGAAAAATTTCGAATAATTCGAACATATATTGCAAATTTAAAAAATGAGCAATTGTATTCTCTGGGTAATTTATTTTTAAACGAAAAGTATATTATTCGTAAGTAGACTATTTTGACACACGATTTGAAGGAATTTAAATGGATACAATTGAAGATCCAGAGATATTTCATTAATTCGCGAATTATTCGAAAACTTTCGAATTATTCGAAATATTTACGAATTATTCGAAATTTTTCGAATTTCGAATCAAATATTGATATTCGATTCGATTCGAACGATGTTCGCACACCCCTAGACTCTTTATGATCAGCTGTGATGGTGTCATGGCGGCAGAAACCAGAGTGGGGACGGAGTGAGAGAGTAATAGATAGAGAAAGAGTGAGAGAGGAATAGAAACGCGGAGAAGGAAATGTAGCCATCACGCAGCTGCACGCATTTAACTTTATCGACGAATTTTTGATATTTCGGCTTGCGGAAATCGTCAGATTATATATTTTTCATTATTCTTGCATTATTTCCTTCAAAATAAAAAAAAATTTAGCTACGCTCGAGAATGTCGAAATGACGTTTTTTTTTACAACTTTGTTGCCCTCCCCTTTTTTTACGTCACTCTCAAATTGTCAGATTAGTGGAATATACACTTTTTAGGATGTAATTAACTCACCCTACCTTAATCTGACGCGCTCGAGAATTTCTGGTGGTCAATTTTTTTTTACTAATCTGATCCTGTATCCTTCACGGGCGGCCTTATATATGGGCCTCATGTTTTGTGGAGGTACTTAACCGGGTACAAAGTATCCCCCTGTATATTAATCTGCCGCGCTCGAGTAACTACAGAAAATCCCCTCTTCGGCTCCCCTACTATTACGCGAATATTTCACAATTTAAATAAACAAAATTTAAAGACATGCCAAATAACATATATTTGAATTACGCACTAATTTTAATCAAATAATTTTTAAGATATTTAACTTGATTTTTTGAAATAGGTTGAATCTTCCTAAAGATGTTATTGTACAACGTAATCTTACCCGCAATCCGCATATCTAACTAACAAAAAAATTGAACGAGCATTTCGGCACGAAATAATAGATTTGCAATAGAAATTATTATAAAGATAATCTTATCTTTTTATTGGCGAGTTACAAGGGCTGCCTGATACACTTAATAAATTAATTACTTAATGATACATACCTTTACAGTACCTAACCTCTGTTTATCATCAAATTTACAACGCGATAACTTCTGATTATATCTAAATATTATCTTTTATTGTTATATGGAAGTACCTGTGTTATTGTTAAAGGAGAATCCATTTTACGGTTCTATAATCCACGAACCAAATGTGTATAAAAAAATCCTATTTTTTTAATATCCCTTTAAAATCTTAATAGCCAAGGGAAATATAATTTTATTTTGCGATATTGCCTAAAACTCCTATTAACGGTAACAGGAAGGAAACATGTCGTCTTGAAAGGGAAAAACCAACCATACAAGCTGAGGCTCGGCGATACGGGGAAGAAAATCTATACATAATAATAATAATAAAATTGTAACTAAGCCGAATCTGTACATTAAATATTTTTTGGAAAATCTTATTGAAATAAACATTATCATCGATATAGAGGCCGAATCTATGGTTTTTAGAAATTTTGTCTATCTGTCTGTCTGTCTGTCTGTTACCGCATCATAGAAAAGTTTTTTATTTTTATAATATACTAGCATTGTCCGCGGCTCCGCCTGTGTTCATTAACCAAAAACCAAATTCTAAGCTTTTACATATTAGTATACTCTTACATTGCAGTTTTTGTATTTTTTCTTAGAAATGAGACAGTTTCCCGCGTTAAAACGTATCCTATATGTTGACTCGTATAACCAGCTATCACCATATCATCAAAATCCCTGAAGTGGTTTTTCTGTGATACGGTAACAGACAGACAGACAAAAATTCTATAAACTATAGATTTGGCCTCTGTATCGATAATAATGTTCTCAATAAGATTTTCCAAAAAATATTTAATGTTTAAATTCGGCTTGGTTACAATTTTATTATATGTATAGATAAGTTTGTATTTCCCTAGGTGTAGTACCTTTGAGAAATATAGTGAAATACAATAGGTACTGATTAATTCTATTAATCCTAAGCTAACAAAATGTGGATCTGAAAATATTCCATATCAATCTTAATCTTATTTTTTTATAATTTTCCATTCCATACTATAAAAAGGTATTGGAAATACTTCTAGTGACTTGGCAAATATTGGCTTAAACAAAAAATTGCCACTTGTGAATGTATTGCCACTTCTATATTATGATCTATTACCAGAACTTCGCTCGCGCTAAAACTATAAGAAAACTCTAAAAAGGTTGATTTCATTCAAACTTTCATCCCCTATTTTACCCCCTTATAGGATGAATTTCGAAAAATACTAATGCACGTATTTTTTTACGTGTATTGAAGAGCATTTATACCAAGTTTCAGGTAATTCTGATCATAAATATTTGTTTGAGTTACACTATGTTTTCCCGTGGGAATAAAATACTCTCTCGCGGTAAAAAGTAGGCTGTGTCACTCTCCAGTCACACGAAAAATCACGTCAATCCGTCACTCTGTTTTGACGTGAAAGAAGGACAAACAAACAAACACACTTTCATATTTATAATAGCAGAACCCGCGGCTTCGCTCGCCCCCCTAAAACTACAAAAATGAACTCTTAGGCTTTATGCTTTTAGTAACAATTTGATGTCTGTAATGATTTGCAAATGTGTATGATTGTGACTGCTGATTGAGCATCGAGAGTTTCGTACCGCTGAATATTGTGCTGTTTTTAACTTTTTACTAACAACATATTTACATACAAATAATATTTTTATATGTTCGCGATACATACTTTATTAATTGCAAAAATAAGTTCGGGTTACATATTATTTTTTAAAGATACTCGTTTTATGGAAAACAAAAACTTTAGTGATCGTAACTCATTATAAAATATAAATATTAAATTTCATTCTTCTTACTTCAAAAATGATTTTATTTATAATCAGAAGCTTGTATATGAAATTTAATGCTTCTTAGTTAAAAAATAACGGACCACCCATATGAACTTACAACCCCTATTTCACCCTCTCAGGGGACAGATTTTCAAAAACTTTGAAATGCATATTTATATATTTCTAACCAGAAGCTTGTATATGAAATTTCATACTTCTAACTTTGAAAGTGATAGATTTCTATACAACCGTTTATCCCTTATTTTATCCTTTTAGGGACAAAATTTCCAAAAACCCTTTCTTAGTGGAAGTTTATACCATATAATGCATGAACTGCCAAAAATTTCAAGTTTTTACTCCTGTGGCTTAGGCTCTGAGTTGATGAATCAGTCAGGACAAGCAATTATATAAAAGCAACTAGCATTGCCCGCGGCTCTTTTTTGTAGCATTTTTATAGATTTTGAATTCTCTAGTAATAGATAAAAAAAGAAATGGACAAACTGGTTGTATAAATAGTAGGGAAGATTGAAGGCAAAAGATCACGTAGTCGAGTACCTACCAGCTGGTCCGATCAGATTCAAAATATACCGACTGCTCAATATTCCGACTGCCTTGAGACAAGCAGAGTGGTGTGGAGGAAGCTAGTCGACACATCGGTGAAAGCATTTCAGGACAAGCACGACCTTCAGTAATGATGTTGCATATTTTTTTTAATTTTAAATACGAAATGATTAATTGTAATTAAATATCTATTAATAAATTAGAGATTAAAGTACTATTTATACAAAAATAATTATTACTTGTCTTATTTATGAAACTAAAAATATATTGCATGTTCTGATAAAAAAAGTTTTGATAAAGAAATGATTGTATTGTGATATTTATTAAGGATATAAAGATTCTTTATTATTATAATTATAACATCATGAAGATAACATATATGTATATAAATCGAATTAAAAATCAAATATCAAATATCTTCGTGAAGAGGAAGGAGAAACCAATGTAAGTTAACTAAAAGAAAGATTATTTTCTATTATTATTATTAACAGCGACTTATCCTTGCTTCGCTCAGATGTAACGCTCAGTGTCCTTTAGGAAGTAGACTGTAGGGCTCTTTAAGATCTAAATTTTTTAACCGACTTCCAAAAAGGAGGAGGTTCTCAATTCGTCAGAATCTTTTTTCTTATGTATAGTCACCGTTTACTCGAAGACGCCTAAACCGATTTGAAATTTTTTTGTTTCAAAGGGTATACTTCCTAGGTGGTCCCATATAAATTTTATCGAAATCAGTCAAGCGGTTTTTTTATATTTATTGTTTATATCTTACTAAATTAATCACGTATGGAGTAAAAAGTAAAAAATCATAATTATAAAGTAATTTTAAGATAATTTAAACTATTTTAATATATTACATATTTAAAGCTTCATAATTGCATATACATATATAAAAATAAATTAATAAATATTTTTTTAATTTGATATTTCATTTCAGATAAAAGATGAAATTCATCGTTTTTCTCGCATGTGTAGCTGCTGTCACTACAGCTGAAAATGCCGGAAATGAGCGTATTCTGCTTGACATCATTAGTCAAATATTGGAACATTTAAGACCTAGGCCAATAGTGGTGGAAGAGTCAGTTGCAGTGGAACATATTGTACACGATCCTATTGTAGTTCAGAAACCCGAAATCGACTCATATGAGCCAATTATCGTCGACCCCATCATCATAGATGAGATTCCGGTAGAACACTCACCTATCGAAATACCAGATTCCGTGTACCCTGTTCTTCCGGCTCCAGTTTTCCCTTCTCCCGTGTTCAAGTCTCCCCTAGTCCAGCTTATTGTTAATGTCAAATCTGAATCTGGGGTCGTCGGCAGCCCTGTAATTGTTGGGCCCGCTATTGTTTCCCCTGATGTAGTCGGTTCACCTGACATCATCGTTGGGCCCGCTATTGTTTCCCCTGATGTAGTCGGTTCACCTGATATCATCGTTGGGCCCGCTATTGTTTCCCCTGATGTAGTTGGTTCACCTGATATCATCGTTGGGCCCGCTATTGTTTCCCCTGATGTAGTCGGTTCACCTGATATCATTGTTGGGCCCGCTATTGTTTCTCCTGATGTAGTCGGTTCACCTGATATCATCGTTGGGCCCGCTATTGTTTCCCCTGATATAATCATTTCTTGATCAGCTACATTTTCCCTACATAAAAGTGAAACTTCACCTTTTTTACCTGTTAGAAAAATAAAGTTAATTCCACATTCAAAAAATAATCACAAAAAAACTATGAGATTATTAAAATTGGATCAAACCTAGTACATTATTTATAATTGTACATTTAAATATAATAAATGAACTTCATAAATAAATATTATACGAAACTATTTGGTTTTACTTTAATTAAGAAATTCTGAAAATATAAGAACAAATTTAAAACAATATTGTTTAAACAACAGTTACTACAACAGTACTTTTACATATTTTTTTATTTTACTGGATTTTATCAATTATAATAGCTGCATAGACAATTTTTTTAGTAATTAAAAAAAATGCCTATCATGACTATTATATATATTATATATAGAAATAGAAAAACTTTTATTTAAACCTATAAGATGTAAATTGTCGTCCCATTAGATTTTCACAATGAAGATATAAAGGATATTGAAGTTTAAGATTCATTTATTTCTAAAAAGAAAAGAATTCACTCACCAAGTAACATTAGTTTTACGTAGGTAACATTATAAACGGGCAGCTAATACTTATATAAAACAAATATTATTATTATTACTTAAACTAGATGAATGGTTTTTAATAAGCACAGTAGCGTCCGACAATTAAGTGTGAATTTAAAAGTCCCACTTGAGAAGCGGCCAAACTCTGTGTAAAATGTAGGTTTCTCCTGGTACTTCTGTTTGGTTTTCGGAAGATTTTACTAAGTAAGTAGTATTGAATTTTCTAGCTGCTGAGTCACGATATTTCCAAAGACTAAAAGATATTCTGACTAATCAATTGAAGCTTCAATGATACACGATAGAATTAAATGTCTGTCGTAAATCATGAAAACTTTTTAATTTTTTTTGCTCGGTTTTCTTATTAAATGGAACTTATGATGCAAAAATTTAAAGTTTTGTTATATTACATGATAAAGATATCGTTTATCATGTAATATAACAAATATCCTTGAGGAGCACTCGACAATGCTATGGCTTTATGGTATAGTTTTAAGTGACATCTACGGGTATGAAGTCTTCCCCGCCCCTCCACTACACCGTCTGCGAAAATATGATGCACTTAATTAAATTAAACCTCCTGATAGAGAGAGATAAAGACATATATTATTCCGAGAGCTGGCGATGAATTTTGGGAAGGTCCTTTTGGCAAGTTGAAATTGTGAAAAAATATAATTTCGTGAATTGGCGAGTCCAGTCCCGCGAGTCTGGTATAGCTTGAGCGGTTATTTCGTTACTGCGCAGTATATGACATTTGCAAAAAAATATCCAAAAAAACATATTTTTGGCAACTTGATTTTTATTTAATCTTTTAATTTAGTTTTCATATAATATAAAAAAAGAACCCCAGAAGTATTTCCAGAACTCTGCAATGATACTTTATTAAAATTCCCAAAAATATACTTTTGGCAATTTGAAATTTTAATTACGTATTTGTTGAGTAATTTTCAATAATACTTGCAATTCGTCAGACGAATTTACCGGTTATAAACCATTCCCAGACGTAAATAAAGTTTACAAATGAGTACTACAAAAAAGTCTTATGCGTAGCCATAGGTGCGAGAAAGATAGCTTATCGAGGTAGGTTAGGCGTGTCCTAATATTGGAGAGTTCTTTAATTTACGTCGTGTAAAATGTATATTCCATAATGTTTTCTTTTAAAACATTTTTTATAGTATTATTCAAAGTTCCTATGTAATTTCCTGATATATTTTCTACGAATAAATAATATTATGTATTTATTCGTTGTAGGTATATTTTGTAATAAATTTTGAACACACGAAAATTTTGTTTTGACGTTTATTTAAATGAACTGTCAACTGTATAAATCCCGTCCCAAGCTTGGGGTGAGCACGAGCGTCACGTAGTTAGTACGAGCCTAGTTTTTTTCACATAAATACATATGTATGTAACTTGCTCAGTTGCTACGAGACATGCTACGCGTATGTCTCCGACTGTATGCAATACTATGTTATTTCTAGAACTTGTTTCATATTTTTAGTTGGTTTTTTAACGCAGTCGGGTCTATTATTTTTATATTATTTTTTATTTATAGCTTTTTAGTATTTATTTAACAGTTTAAGAAGTAGATTCTTACCTAAGGAATTCAATTTTGAAATGTATATTTATACACAACATTTATTTCGGATACACCTATTATTAAGTAGAAAACTCCGCTTTTCTATTCTATAATATTTTCAAGATTTAATCGTGTTAAAAGTTGATGAACAAACAGAGACAGTTAAGTATAGTAAACTGAATCTATCGAGCATGAATTAATGCATGCATACTAATACAGCACTAATTTCTGGTTTCAAAATTACAAAAGACCTACGCTTAAAAGACGCTACGGTTTGTCTTCTCTCCTACCATTAATACTTAGTGCTATTTTGTAAAAACTATTCTTACGGGACTTTTAGCGTGAAAGAAATAGAGTGCATTTGTGTATATGTCCTGAATACTTATACATCATAATAATATGTCCCGCGCAGTTGGTGTTTGTCAATAAGGTTGGCTACATTAACCAAGATCGGTTAGGAGGACATTTAAATCTACATTGGAAAATGGCAGAGCTGAGGCTGACATGATGTTGTTACACATACTTTACGCCTTACTAAAATTATTTCGTTTTTTGACATCTGAACTAGTACTAGACCTCTATGCTATTTTGAGTCAACTCGGTAATAATGTTTTTTAATATCATGTATATACTATGTATAAATAGGCAAAGATGAAATAGTTCACCGCTCAGCACCTTTTTCTTCTTTGTTAAGAGCTTATTAAAGCTTTAGTACTAAATTATTTAGCATTTAAAGTTGTCAATAAAAAAATCGATAAGGTTACCTTTTTAATTCACTTTTTATATAGGTATGTTTTTTTTTTAATTTTCAATCATGATTATGATCGAATTTCGACCATTACCAAAACTAGTAGATATAAATAGATAATATGGTAATTGATATAAATAGACAATGTAGATTGTTAATAATATATATTTAATTTACAATTTCAATAATTTTTGTTTTTTTTTATTATTTATTAATTTAATTAAGGAAGTCAGGAACGTTTACTGGGGTGATGGGGCCCACCGCGGGGGGGCTGTCGGGCATGTCCACAACGTTAATGGGCTCACTTTGAGGTTCTTCGACAGGCGTAATAATAAGCTCAGGTCTGTCGACGATGACAGGGAGACCATGAAAGTCATCGACGATAACAGGGGCGGGATTGATAACAGATGATCCCGAGTTAGGTTTAACGTTGATGATTATTTGCACAAGGGGAGAGCTTGCTCCTACAACACTTTCATCAACAATAGCGGGTCCAACGGAGATGGGCTCGTATTCACCGTCAATGATTGCAGGTCCAACGGAGATGGGCTCGTATTCGCCGTCAACGATAGCAGGCCCAACGTGGATGGGCTCGTGTTCGCCGTCAACGATAGCAGGCCCAACGTGGATGGGCTCGTATTCGCCGTCAACGATAGCAGGCCCAACGTGGATGGGGTTAGGTTGAGAGGCTGCTAGGAACTGATCAAGCATTTGTTGCAGGGCGGCAGCGGTTGCGGGGTCTGTGCTTGGGTGGTTGATGGCGGCTATAATTTCTTTGATTTCAGCTGCCTGATCAATAGCCGTGATAGGTCCGATCAAGTTGGCCGAAGCCACAGCGGCGCAAAGGGCGATTACAACCAGGAATTTCATTTTCTGAAACATGATTAATATTTATACAATATACAGATAATAATGCCTGACGAGATTATACATTATCAACATAAATTAAAAAAATCTATACAAAATGACGATTTTTTATAGAAACTTTCATCCCAGGTATAACTTAAAGGATGAATTCACAAAATTCCTTTTTTAGTTATACTATGAACTACTATACAAAGTATTATGCTTGTAGATTAAATTCAAATAAAACCAATTTAGTCTATTTATAGTACAATCAAGCGCCCGATGAAATCTGTGCAGTCGAGTTATCCGTAAATCAATGAGCTTTCTGTTACATCCCCCACATAGAGCACAAAGTTTTTACTAAGAATATTCAATGTTTGATTACTTTATTATATTGAATTGATATTGAATACTATAATGATTTACTTATATAAATATGTTTATTACTCACTTGTTTTTACTGTTGTAAACTATCAAATAAAAGTATTGATATGTGTTTATATACAAAAGTATTATCTTTGTATTCATCTAATCTTTTTTATTGGTGCTTTGTAATCGTTAAGGATATTATTAACATATCATGTGCAAATCATTTATAAAAAATCTATTGGTCAAAAGTTTTTATATACTTTGCTCACAAATAGGCAGTTATGGAGATAAAGCTGATTAAGATTATTATTTTAGTTTCTTAACTACAGGACAGAACTAGTTAGTTAGGTATACTGAACTTTGGAATAAATAAAAAAGACTGAAGCTACCATATAAAAAAAATGTTACAAAAAAAACGTTTGTTCAGTTTGGCAACAAAATTGTATATTTTGCTATTTTTGTTTTTGTTTCATTTTCATATTAGTATAATTGAAAATTTTATATAAGACTTTCTTAGATTTACGCGAATATTTGACATTTTTTCAAATAAAACTATCTTATCGGATTATTTTATATTAAAAATGTTTAAAGATAAAAAATATTGTAATGTAATTGGTGCAATTTTTATTTTGTTAATTGTGGGTAGGCTGTCTGTAAGAACTATACCTTCAAGACATGTAACACCTCAGTCTCTCCCGTGACCATGGATGCTGTAAAGCATTCGAAACATCGGGAACCAAAAATCAAAATAAATCCGCGAAATAATCCGAAAAGATAGTTTTATTTGAAAATTGTATATAAGATTTTTTTTAGATAAAAAACCTCAGCCTCCGATTAAAATAATTTCAAATTGGCTGTATAATTTTCGTTATAAAGTAATTAATTTATATTATATTACTACTTGTTTTGAGCGGAAATTTATTTATCAAAATATCAGTAGGTAGTTAATTAAATATCAATTTTACTAAAAACAATGAAGAAAGTCACATTGTAATAATATTTTATTAGTCGTTTATAACGATGTTAAACTTTTTATCTACGATAATGATAAAATTAAATTTACAACCCCTAATAACTGTCATTTATTAGGGGTTTTCATTCTAGTTTTGTTATTATTGCGACATTCAATTTTATTATTATGCTTTCGTATTAATTTGCGCTTTGACATTACGAGTTCGATTCTGACTAAATCATTTATGCTTTGGACCGCATAGAGTTGGCTGTTAGCATTGTCTGGATCTAACTTATAATGGAGATTTAGATACTACTTATAAGTGATTAAAGTGATTGAGTTTTACATTTATATCTAAATAGGCATATAGCTGAATCAAAATTGATTGAAAAAGAAGTGTAACAGGACTAGCACTGCGCCCTACGTCGGAAGTCGATAGTTCAATTTGCACACTAGATGAATTTGCTATTAAGGGCTCATTATACATACAATAAACTAAAAAAATAACCGTAGGATGACATAAAATAAAATTGATAAAACAAATGAATTAACTTATTTTTATAAAAAGTCGAGGTTTTACACCTACCTTTACCTACATGACAGTTAACTTTTATGGTTGTTGTACACCAATTTTAAAATCATTTAAAAATAATAAACAATTTATATAAGCCCTCTTGGAGTCTAACTTTTACTGTTAAAGAGAATTATAAAAATAATTTCAAAATCAGCTTGGATATTGCGTAACATATTACAAAAAATACAGTTATATTGAGTATCTTCTTCGTAAATGGATAAAATTCAGCCTTAGATGTTTTTGCTGTTCGGAAAGGGTCCAGTCCACATTCAGCAAGCACAATATACACTATATTTTTTTATGTATTCTAACCTTCAGAAGGAGTTTATAAGAAAAGAGGAAAGGACGCCTGGTGGGTTAGCACAGTTAAGAAACTCCACATGATAGTGAACTGATTCATCTATGTAAATCACTGAATCGACAGACCAATATTCTATTTTTGACCCTTCAATGTACTTAAGCAGGATTTTATTAAAAGCAGTAGCACTGTTGCTTTTGGGGCTCAGTGTAGCACGTTCATAATACCAAGCCAAGACGCCTACACCTACGAGTACCTTTGTATATCTATTATAAACATCAGGATGCACTCTAGCTAGATTTTCTTTCTCGCGCGCTCTAGTTTTGTTATAGTTGTCAGACTGTGGCCATCCAAAAATTTGCCCATAATTATCTTTGGATCAGGAATAATCTCCGTTGTCTATTTCATATCTCACCCAGTAAGTGAGCACTTCCGGAGAACTTGAACTATATTACTATGCTTAAACATATTTCGAACGGGGAGTTCAACTCGGGTGAGATTGAGCGGGAGTTTAAACGCAGCGTAAGCTGTTTTACTATCTTCTCAAAGTGCAGAAGCATTTCCAGATAAGGCCACAGCTAATGTAATCCCCCGATTATTTTGATTTAATTTAGCCAAAAGCAAATTTTATTTTAAGAAAAGCTTTTTTAGCCGACTTCCAAAAAGGAGGAGGTTCTCAATTCGTCGGAATCTTTTTTTTATGTATGTTCACCGATTACTCGTTATATCGATTATAAGTTGATAAATAAGTAGTTTTCATTAGTTTTTCTTAAAAAATTTGAAAATTATTCGGCTTAGCGCAAAAATTGTCATACAAAAAAAAACAGTCGAATTCAGAACCTCCTTCTTTTTGAAGTTGGTTGAAAATAATCTACAACAAATTGTGAACAAAAATGGTTCCGTGCATAATCTTGCTAAACTGAACGGTTCCAGAGTTACAGAGGTAGTACAGTGCAATTAGTCTAAAAAACAGCCTGACCTTAATTAATCCAAAGTAAAAGTTTCCCTCCAACTAACTCCAAATTGTTCTATATAGTCTGTATAGTCGTTGTGATCGTGAATTGACGGACATACAGAGAGTTACGAGTACAGTAAACTGAATCTATGGACCATGAATTAATACAGCACTAATTTCTGGTTTCAAAATTACAAAAGACCTACGCTTAAAAGACGCTACCGGTTTGTCTTCTCTCCTACCATTAGTACTTAATGCTATTTTGTAAAAACTATGTATAATATATGCCCTACGGTAGTTTTAACGTGAAAGGAATATAGAGCGTACATTTGTGCCCTGACTTATACAGCATAATAATATGTCCCGCGCAGTTGGTGTTTGTCAATAAGGTTGGCTACATTGACCAAGATCGGTTAGGAGGACATTTAAATCTACATTGGAAAATCGCAGAGCTGCGGCTTACATGATGTTGTTACACGTACTTTACGCCTTACTAAAATTAATTCGTTATTAATCCCTTTTTAACTTATAAACTAGGTAAACTAGGTCTCTATGCTATTTTGAGTCAACTCGATCATAAGGTTTTTATTATCTTCTATATATCATGTTAAATAGGCCAAGATGAAACAGTTCACTGTTCGGCACCTTTTTCTTTTCTGTTAAGTGTTTTCAATAAAAATATCGATAAGGTTACCTTTTTAATATACTTTTTATATATGTTTTTCTTAAGTTTTCAATCATGATTGTGGACGAATTTCGACCATTACCAAAACTATTAGATATAAGTAGATAATATGGTAATAGGTATAAAAAATGACAATCATGTAGGTTGTTAATAATATATATTTAATTTACAATTAAAACAATATTTTTTTAAATTAAGAATGCCAGGAACGATTATTGGGGTGATGGGGCCTACTGCGGGGTGGCGTCAGGATTACTAATAATAAGCTCAGGCTTGTCGACGACGACAGGGAGACCATGAAAGTCATCGACGATAACAGGGGCGGGATTGACAGCAGGTGATCCCGAGTTAGGTTTAACGTTGATGATTATTTGCACAAGAGGAGAACTTGCTCCTACAGCACTTTCATCAACAATAGCGGGTCCAACGGAGATGGGCTCGTATTCACCATCAACGATCGCAGGTCCAACGGAGATGGGCTCGTATTCACCGTCAACGATCGCAGGTCCAACGGAGATGGGCTCGTATTCGCCGTCAATGATAGCAGGTCCAACGTGGATGGGGTTAGGGTGAACAGATGCAAGGAGCTCTTCAAGCATCTGTTGCAGGGCAGCAGCGGTATCTGGATGAGTGCTTGGATGGTTGATAGCGGCTATAATATCCTTGAGTTCACTCAGGTCACTATTGATGAGATTGGCCGAAGCCACAACGGCACAGATGGCAAATACAACTAAGAATTTCATTTTCTCGTCTGAAACAGATTAAAAACAAAATAAATATGACTAATATCTAAGAATATCGAGCAAAAAAAATGAAGAGTCAATTGTAATTCATAATGGATTGAAGGATGAATAAATGTTTCTATCATTGTTAACACGCTTCTATTAGCTTTACTTTAACTGTAATCAAATCTTGGAAATCTATCTCAATCTATTTCTATTGTTGTCGAAACTTTGTACGTTATTTAACCTATTTGGGTGTCGAAGAATTGAAGAACTCTACAGTGTCTACTAGTAAATTTTTTGAGTTGGGCCATTCACAGTATATATTTAAAGTTAGCTTAAAGCGTCTTTTAAATTTTTTAAGCGATATAAATTCATACGATAAATGCTAAGTACTACTCGCTTACGAAACTACTTACTTATTAGATTACTATAAAACAAAGAATGAAATTTAACAGTACATCTACTTTTATACTAAATGTTATCATTATGAAGCTATAATCTTTTCATATATAATCTTCTTTCAAAGCCTTACAATCCCTAAAGATATGATGACCTTTTTATCACCACATTTTAATGTATACTAAATAATGATCAATGACTTACACATTTTAGTTTATGAGCATTTAGATTTTATTAAAATATAATAAAAAAATTTAAAATTTGATATTTATATAATAAAATAGTAGAAACATCGTCTCTGTACATTCTTTATTTCCTTTTTTATTTATGCTATAGATTACTATGTTATGACCTGTGGCTCAACCGCACGGTGGATAAGCAATTTATACATATAAATAAAATTGATCTGTCTTTTTGTAACGACAAAATGATAGCTTTTTACTAAATTCATATGAAATTATATACGGTACTCATAAGAAAAACACAATTTTTAAATTTTTTGTCTGTCTGTCTGTTTGTTCCAACTAATTTTTGTAACGGCTGAACTGATTTTGACGGGACTATCACTGACAAATAGCTCATGTTGTAGGGAGTAACTAAGGCTAATCTATTTAAGGAAAAAGTTTAAGGTTCCACTCAAAAAAAATTAAAACATACCTAGGGACACACCCGAGCGAAGCGAGGGTAAGTCGCTAATTAATAATTAAATCTATTTGTCATAGAAATGTCATAGACAATAGAGAGAGAGAGAGAGAGAAAAAAAGAGCTTCTCTCTCTATTATAGAGGTATTATCTAATTATAGCTCTTTCTCTTTTCTAGTCTTCCCCATATGGGTTGTTCATGAATCGCGGATCCTCAGCCTTTAATTCTAAACGTTAAGAGATACGTCTCTTACTATCATTAATATCAATACTAAATGCTATTTTATTTATACCCGGTTGTTTAGTCTTTGGACCTTATAAGAACATAAGCATAAAAGGCACTACCGTTAAAGCTTTCTGTCTCAGCGTGCGTATACGGATATACTAAGTCGGAAACAAACATAAATATAGTTTGCTTTCTCTCATATTTCGTTTCACACTTATTTCACATAATGAAATGTTAGCACAAGTTCTCAATTAATATAATTTGATACATTAAAATATCAGTGTTAAACCACCTCAATCATAGTATAATCGACAATAGGACGTAGTTATGCAAAATGGATCCAGCCCACCGCTTTTGAGTTACTGTCATAAATGGCACCTACTTATCAACTTTAATAATTATGAAAAAAATATTCAAGCCGCCAAGTGCCTTTTTTCTTTTTAAACATACATACAGACGCTAACGATACCAACAAAATATTATTAAGCATTTTCGTAGAGTTAAGGTGAAAAAATAAATATTTCTAATCAAATAAATTACAGCGTATTTGGGACATAAAAAGGTAAGTTTTCACCAAATTTCGTGAATTTTTTTTTTTTTTTTAAAAAGATAAAAATTAAAAACATAAACTTTGTTTTTTGAATTTTTCACATAAATTTTAAGGTTATGTGAAAAAAGTGTAAATACAAAAGTTTTAGATCTTTTTATTACCTACAACTTTGCCATTTGACTTTTTTCCTTAGGACTTTTAGTTTTGCCGGAAATCGAGAAAAACCGTTTTTTACCCTTAAAAACTCACCCCCATCCCCTTCCCGACCTCAGATCACAAGTAAATTATTTTTCCTTTCATTTTTATAATATTTCCCTCCTTTTCTAATGGGTTTCATCCTACTATTTTTTTTTTCATTTTTTATTATTTTTAAAGGCTACCCTGGTCTAGTATGATACTTTGATGTCACACCAAGCGCGCGAAATGGTGTTTAAAATATCCGAATCGGTATGATATTTAAAAAAATATATACTAAATTTAATTTTTTTGGAGCTGGATATTGGATATTTCTCCGAGATTGCGTTCTTCGTCTGATTTATCTGGCCAAAAATTATTTTCATTTTTGGCTCTATTCAACATACTCTTATGATTAAAGACATGCCAAATATTATAATTATACAACAATGTTAGCTATTGTATAAAAAATTAAAAAAATCACGCATATTCCCTAGTATATAAACAAAATGTATGAATACGTAATATCAGAAATTATGTTATTTTCCCAATATATTTTGCAAGTATCAATTTTTCATATTCGGATGATCATAATTTATCCTTTTAATATTTAGACGATAAATTTATTAAATAGTAAATGTTCTTTAAACAAAAATATAATAGTCAATTTTATTCACTTTTAAGATATCATGAAATAAAGCAAATATAAAGCGAACAATACAGTTAAAGTTATTCTTACTGGGAATCAACTGCATTAGTTAGCAGTGAAAGAGCACTTGCGATACTTCGCACTTCGTAAAAATGTGTCAGAAATATAGAAAAAAATCATTTAATAAAATAGCATTTAATAAAACATATTTATATGTAAATATACTTATATTAGTGACTTAAACGTTTTTGGAGCGTGATAAAAAATCCTAAAATATTAATGATGTCATCTATGAGAATATACAGTATAAACTCATTACCTATGTAATTCATGACTGATTTTTCAATTGTCTTTTAGTTGTATTATTAAAAGTATATTTAACCAATTTGGAATCTATTTTGTTTTTCTTAATTTAAAATATCTCTACTGACAAGTGAAAATATGTTAGAAAATAATTTATTTATCAAAGATCATATTAAATATGAACAATTAAAAAAAAAGGATAATTTTTAATATATTTATTTATTTAATACTTTCTTAGATTTACGCGAATATTTGACATTTTAAATAAAACTATCTTTTCGGATTTTGTCGCGGATTTATTTGGATTTTTGTTTCCCGACGTTTCGAATGCTTTACAGCATCCATGGTCACGGGAGAGACATCTCATCCATTCAGCATCCATGGTCTCTCCCGTGACCATGGATGCTGTAAAGCATTCGAAACGTCGGGAAAGAAAAAAAAAATCCAAATAAATCCGCGACAAAATCCGAAAAGATAGTTTTATTTAAAATATTTATTTATTTAGTTGAGAATTCCAGGGAGGGCAACGACGGGAGGGATGAGAGCTTCAGGTTCAGGTTGTTCGACGATGATCACATTTTCGGGTTCAGGTTCAGGCTGATCAACAACAATAACGGGGGTAGGTTTGATCTCGTCAATAATAACGGGGTCAACGCTAATAGGCACAGGTTCAGGCTGATCAACAACAATAACGGGGGTAGGTTTGATCTCGTCAATAATAACGGGGTCAACGCTAATAGGCACAGGTTTGGGCATACCGTCAACAATAACGGGACTGCCAACGATACCAGAGTTTGGGCTAACATTGACAATGATTTGGACTAGGGGAGAGCTTGCGGGAGCGGCAACTTCGTTGTCAATAATAGCGGGTCCAACGGAGATAGGCTCGTATACACCGTCAATGATAGCGGGTCCCACGGAGATGGGCTCGTATACACCGTCAATGATAGCGGGGCCAACTGAGATGGGCTCGTACACACCGTCAACGATAGCGGGTCCAACGGAGATGGGCTCGTATTCACCGTCAACGATAGCGGGTCCTACGGAGATGGGCGCACCGTCAATGATAGCAGGTCCAACGGAGATGGGTTGGTATTCACCGTCAATGATAACTGGTCCAACGGAGATCGTATCTATGACATCAGTTGGTTTGGCCAAGGCCACGGTAGCGCAGATAGCGAAAATAACTAGGAATTTCATTTTGTTAGCTGAAATAATATAATATTAATTTAAAACGATTATGTCTTTACTTTTTATTTTTTAACTAAAAATACGACTCTGGAATTAGCACTGACAGGCAACGTATGTGAGACTAGAGAAAGGTTTTTGTAAATTTTGAAATTGGAAATATGGTCATTAATATTTGAATTGATCACTTTATATTGTCATAGTAAATTACAGCACTTGGTTCACTGCATGTAGTAAAATCAAATGGGTATATTATAAACTTAACAAAAAAATACAAATAAAATATTTTTTGTCAAGTAATAGATTCAATAATTGGGTGATACTTTATTATTATAGAATATAATTTACATGTTGATAAATACTCTTAGGCCGAAGAACATTAATTCTCGTGCTTACCTTTTTGTCAAATTGCTTGGAAATATAGATAATTCAAAATTTTGTCATGGTTTTATATTAAAATTTATCTCTACATTTACGATACGTAATCTTTCGATATAGTGTGAATTATTATCAGAGATTAAAATATATTTGGATAAACCATTTTATCAGTTGAGGTAATTTTTAATTGTATTAAATAATTGGTTTGGTGGAATAGACGTTCAGTTCGATTTATACTTAATAAAAAATATTGGGAGAGGTGCGATATTACCAGCTGGGGTATGTGATTAAGGAATATATCAGTGCCGATCCCTCTCGCAGCGAATTAAACCGGCTGTTGGCGTGGGCGCGCTAGTAACTCTTTGACTCTCTTGCCACTCGGCTCGATGATTCCCTCCTCCCTCTCTCTCACCGCGTTAATTAAGATGTATTTTTCGAATAAAGGTTTTTTCTTTTAAAAATTAAATAATTTGTTTTTAATTATGTTATATTTACTGTCTTTCAAAAACATCCTGCCATGCTTATTTTCTACACAAAATAGTTCTATGTTTCACATTTGCCAGTCATCTCGCGACGGCTTTTATTGTTTTTTTTTCTTCAGTAACAGCTTACAACCAATTAAAGATAACATCATATTAAAACATATAAATAACAATTCTTTTATTTCTTATCTCATACCAAAATAATAAAGCATTAGCTGGTTGACATATGTATAACTAGCGACTCACCCTCGTTCTGCTCGAGTTGGTCCTTGATTATGTTTTAACTGTTAGTATACATTTCTCAGAGATGAAACATTTTCCCGCTGTAAAAAGTATCCTTTATGTGGACCCAGATAACCAGCTATCATCATACAAAATTTCAGCAAATTCTGTCTAGTGAGTTTCCAGATAGACAGACAGATAAAAAATCTTAAAACTATAGATGCTGTCTCTGTAATAATTACTATTACAATAAGATATTTCAAAAAATATTTAATGGACAGATTCGGCTCAGTTAGAATTTTATTATATGTATAGACAGATTAACTATTGATAACAAAGACAATAAATGGTACTTTTATGGCATTAATAATAATAATAAATTAAATTATATAAATAAAAAAACATCAATACATAAAAACTAAAGCTATCTTTCTGACAGCCTTTCTGGTTGGAGACGATGGTATTTTCCAAGTCATAGACTATAATTTTGTTTCTGGATTATAATATTATAATCATGAATGAAGCTACGTTTCATTCATGATTATAAATTGAGACAAAAAACGTTCAGGATCTTGTTGTAACAGTTCCAAAGGAGCTCGAGATAATATGTTCAGACTGGTTTGTTTTTGTGCATCTGTAAGCATTCTGGCGACCCAGCGTGTGGATACTTTTTTCATGCCCAAGCGTTCCACCAGTCGAAATCTTTGTTTCTTCGGTTATAAAACGTACAGTGAATTTTATTTATGACCATTTCTTCTGTTACTAACGGTGTGGGGCGAGCGAGGGTCATCTTTGGTGCATATTCTTCCACGGTTAAATTCGGCGTACCGGCGGAGTATTTGCTCCTAAAGTATCCTGTCTTGATTAACTCGTTTCGTAGTGAAATGTTTCAAGCATAGATACTTAATAACCGCGCGCATTTCAATTTTTTCCATTTTCGACAATACGCTACGATAGACTACAAACAAAAGACTTTCATTTTTAAAGAACAAAACATATTCACGTCATTATTTCCTTTTTTTAAATCTAATTATTATTCCAGCTTTATCAACCAGTATTAACTTTTTTCGGTTCCAAAGAGTTTGTACCTCATTCTCACTTTATAATGAACGTATTGTCGTGTTAAAGGGACTTTCTTGCCCACCGCCAGACCAAACTCATAGACTACAGTTTTATACTATCTGCATTTGTTAGAAGGAGATTGAGATAAACTCTTGACTTGGAGCCCTAAAAAAAATATGACCAGCTTGCAAAAATTGTCATATTTTTATGATTAAAATTATTTTTTCCACCCGATTATGATTTAAATATTTTTTATTTTGCCAGGGGGGTGCAAGTGCACTCCCCTCCCGGCGCCCATTATTGTGACATTTGCAGGTATATTATTATTTTATTATTTAACAGATTTTATTGTGATTTTTTTATTATAGAGCTCCGAGGGTAAGCACACTCCTCCCACTGCTCACACTCGAGCACACTTCTAATTGCAATTTATTCGATTAATTATTTTGATTTTGTTTAATTTCAAAGCTAATTGTTTTACTGATACAACTTATTTAAACCATCTGTATTAATTAATTATGTGGTTAGTTACCAATAATATATTTCTGTTTTATTATTATATACCTAGGTACTTAGTATATATTTTTTTTGATTTTTAATATTCTAATGAATTATATTTTCAACTCGTCTCTAATTATATTAGATTAAGTAATTGGTTGTTTTCACTTTTCCTTTTGTAGAACTTAAGTATACTTTCATTGCAATTATTTTTAATAATATAGGTACGTGTTCAATATTTGCATTGCGTGTAACACCTTTAATTAAGATAATATTTAGACTCTTCGTTGACATATTATTATAACTCTGTGTTTTTGGTAAAATATTCTTGTACACTCAGTAGAATATTTTTTATCTATGTATTTAAATATTTAGGAACGCACCTGAGTGAAGTTAGGGTAACTCGCTAATTATACCATAAAAATGTCAGTAAATGACTGTAATAGGAATTATAATTGTTAAAATGTCTGTTTTTCATGTGAGCTTACCAATCTTTTGTAAATTCTAAGTAGTTTGAATTTACTTAATAATAATAATAGAAAAAAACAAAAAAAAACTGTTTTAACAATTACTTTTCATTAGTTATGAGTATTATTTAGGGTTTAAGGAAGGTGTGTTAATTTTAAACATTGACCATTTTCTTTTTAAACTTTCTCATTATAACTGCTTGGTGCCATGCAGCATTATAAATATCTAATAAAAACTTAAAAAAAACCGACTTCCAGGTAGTAAAATGTAAGAAATAACGAAACGGGGGTTTTTATTTAGAATTGTCAATAGATACCTAATCAGATATTTTCGAAGTCGGTGCGAGCCGATGCAAAGCACATCTAATATATTTCGATACCTAAAATACATCACAAATTGATGATGAAATATTTTAACTATAATTAGAGTCCATACCTAATCGTACTTGTATTTACCAATTACCTATTAGATATTCATATCTTAAAATATTGTAGGCTGGCACCGACTTTGAAAATATCTGATTAGGTGTCTATTCTAAATGAAAACTCACTTAACTCACTCGTCGATTGTGTACTCGTACTGTTAGCCATTTCAGTTGTGTCTGATACTGTGTAATGTGATCATACTTCCTTAGTTCAAAAATAAATCTTATTATAAACGCTCGAGCTTGTTGAGTAATTGCTGAGATAGATTTAAATAGCAGGAGTCAGCATAATCAAGTTTGGGTAACAGAAATGAATGAGGTAAAGAAATTTTTACTTTCACCATTTACATAATCAATTGATATAAAAATGTCATTTAATAAGAAAAAACTTGTTATAAAATAATTTATTTAAAAATTGTAAATTAAATTATCTTATTACTTTTTATATTATAAATATTATTTCAATAAAATGTTTTTATTTATTCAGTTGAGAATTCCAGGGAGGGCAACGACGGGAGGGATGAGGGCTTCAGGTTCAGGTTGCTCGACGATGATCACATTTTCGGGTTCAGGTTCAGGCTGATCAACAACAATAACGGGGGTAGGTTTGATCTCGTCAATAATAACGGGGTCAACGCTAATAGGCACAGGTTCAGGCATACCCTCAACAATCACGGGACTGCCAACGATGCCAGAGCTTGGGTTAACATTGATAATGATTTGGATTAGGTTAGCGGGAGCGGCAACTTCGTTGTCAATAATAGCAGGTCCAACGGAGATGGGCTCGTATACACCGTCAATGATAGCGGGTCCCACGGAGATGGGCTCGTATACACCGTCAATGATAGCGGGTCCCACGGAGATGGGCTCGTATTCACCGTCAATGATAGCGGGTCCCACGGAGATGGGCTCGTATTCACCGTCAATGATAGCGGGTCCCACGGAGATGGGCTCGTATTCACCGTCAATGATAGCGGGTCCCACGGAGATAGGCGCACCGTCAATGATAACTGGTCCAACGGAGATCGTATCTATGACATCAGTTGGTTTGGCCAAGGCCACGGTGGCGCAGATAGCGAATATAACTAGGAATTTCATTTTGTTAGCTGAAATACAATAATATTAATTTAAAACGTTGTGTTTACTTTATATTTTTAACTAAAAAACGACACTGGAACTAGCACTGACAAACAACATACAGCCTAAACAACTGGGGACGAATTTAGATGAAACAAAGGAAGGGTTCTTGTAAATTTTAAAGTTAGAAATATTGTCAATGGTAATTTACAGCACTTGGTTCACCGCATATAGCAAAATAAAATGGGTATATTATAAATCTAACGAAAAAATACAAGTAAAATATTTTATGTCTATTGAATAATTATAAGGTGGTTATTATAAAATAATTTACATGTTAATAAATAAACTTAGGCTGAAGAACATTAATTCAGAGATGACTTACCTTTTGGTCAATTTGCTAGGAAATATAGATAATTCAAAATTTTGTCTTGGTTTTATAATAAAATTTATCTCTACGTGTACACTTAATCTTTTGATATAGTAAGAATTATCAAAGATTTAAATATGTATTTGGATAAACCATTTTATCAGCAGAGGTAATTTTTAATTGTATTGAATAATTGATTTGGTGGAATAGACGTTCAGTACGATTTATTTATATTTAATAAAAATAAGGAGTAGCCAGTATAATACCCTAGTATATTATTAAGTAACTATCAGTGCCGATCCCTATTGTGGGTCTCTAATAATATCGTACACAGTATGCCCCTTTTTGCTCATTTTTAACCGACTCCTTCAAAAAGGAGAAAATGAGAAAGAACCCCTCTTTCTCATTTCGGTTCTATTTTTTTTAATGCTGGTAACAAGCTCAGAACTCCGTCATTTATTATCCGATTTGGTCAATTTTTGTTTTGTTTGAAAGTGTATACTTCCAATTTGGCCCCATTTAGATTTCAAAAAAAGAATACCACCCCTAAGGGTAGAAAAATAGGTAATGAAAATTTTACCTACTTCTAATTGTCATATTGACTTGAAATTTTGCAAGTGTTCCTATTTCCGTTCATAGTGCAGTGGTTCGGTATCGTGGATCTGATCTGATGGTAAGGCCAGAAGGTGGATAGGTGGAACTCTTCAACGGCTACTAGTAGATACTTTGAGTCTGGGCTTATTTTATATGATTTGACCAGCAATACGTTACAATTGAACTTTAGAGGCAGAATTTTTAGTGTTACTAATAAAAGCGAATTTTAGTTTGTCAGTTTTCATATAAAAATTGGCATCAAACTAACTAAAACGGTCAATTTTATTAAATACAATACTTACTTCTTAGTTTGCTATTATTATGTCTACATTAAAAAGGGAAAATAAAAACTTTAATACAAAAAATAGTGTGTGTGTGTACTTATGTACGCACGTAAGAAGTTATACTTCTTTGGGGTAGCAGAACAAAAATAGCTAAAGATTTCATCCCGTATGTCACAACTCTTTGTTTGTAAAAGGAATGCAGCTAACTTCATCATGTCGCTTATTGGCTGTCGGTGTGCGCGTGCATCGTAAAAATTTTATTCTCACAATTTTTTCAAAACGTGCCAAAAGAAGTATAACTTCAAAAAATAAAAACCGACTTCAAAAAAAAACACTAAGAAGAAAAAAAATACTTATTGGTACTTTTCATTTACTATAAATACCTAATCAAATATTTTCGAAGTCGTTGCCAGCCGATACACAAAGCACATCAATTTCGAAAACATCTGATTAGGTATCTATAGTAAATGAAAACTATCAATCAGTTTTCTTTTTACTTTTTAAAAAAACCAAACCAAAACAAAGCATTAGCTGGGAGATATATGTATGTATAATTAACTATAGATAATAAAAGAAATGAATTAGTATTTTTATGGCTTTAATAATAATAAGAAAAATATTATAAAAATAAAAAAAAACCCGACTCGGTAAAATCTAAACTCGGAGTAAAAAGATGTTAACGAGTTGACGAAGTAAAATTGAAGCAGTTGTGGGCTTATGTATGTATGTACATGGTTTATACTCGTACTTGGTGCGAGTCATGCTATGTGTATGTGTATACATACAAACCAATACCGAAGGGTGAAATTTGAGCAGAGGTAAGTCGTCCAAAAATATACTATACATATCATTGTAATCTCGGAAACGGCTCCAAAGATTTTCATGAAATTTAGTATACAAGGGGTTTCAGGGGCGATAAATCGATCTATATTAGTCTTATATATAAAAGCTGGGTACGCCCATGCCTGTATGTATCATATAATATACATAATACAGTCTATCTATTACAACCTAACCGTTAAAACGTACCTAAGGACGAACTCGAGCGAAGCGAGAGTAAGTCGCTATTAATAATATTATAATAATGACTCTTAGGTAAGTAACTCAAAATACAACACTGACTTCAGAAATCTATTTTAAAAAATCATCAATCAATATTTATAAATAAATGGCTTAATCGAATATGTTATTAAAAAACTTTCTTCTTGCAAATTACCTGCTTATTACGTCTAAACTGAAAATGGAAAAATAAAAACTTAAAAAAAACCTAGGCACTAAAAAGTAAAAAAAATACTAATTTCGAAAATATCTGATTATGTATCTATTATAAATGAAACCCCCGTTTAGTTATTTTTTTTACTTTTTAGTGCCTGGAAGTCGGTGTTTTTTAAGTTTTTATCATATACCCAAATATTTCTAATCGATTTAAGTGAAAGAATTATTTATTTTACCTATTTAATAATTTTATTTTATTATTAGGAACGACACGACGAACTCTTGCTAATTGGCTTGCTTAAGTATAATAATAATTTATTTATATGTAGTAATAATATGAGACCTCTGAGTATTGTTCCTTGATGTCAAGGCAGTTTTTAAAAATGATTAATTATTAACGCAAGATGCTCCATTCTTTTACTACGAAAAAGCTAACAGGTTTATAATCATTCAATTTTATTTTCTTATTACTTGCTAATTAATATAACATAATACCGTTTCTTATTTTCTACCTATATCTTTTATGCAATTTGTAAGTCATCTAAACGATATCATGGGTTTAGCAAGTGGTTTCTTTCAAGAGAGGAAAACTGGCGGTATTTAAATAATTAAGATAAATAAATATGTTGGGACATTAACACACAGCACCATCTAGTTCCATGGTAAGCTACGAGGCTTGTGTTATGGATACCAGATAGTTGATACACTACACATATATAGCTTTAAATACATACATATTATAAATATAAACACCCATGACTAGAGTACAAACATTCGTGCTCATACACAAATGAATGCCCCCAGCGGGACTCGAACCCGCGACCGCTGGCACAGCAAGTAGGGTCACTACAACTTTGTAACTTTGTAACTTTGCTCACTTGAGCCAAACGTGTCGTCAAAATTGTTTCTTTGTTCTAAATGTTAATATTATTAAATTAAGTATTCATATTATTTAATATTAGTTAATTCTGTTTATACAATTAAACTACTAAAATGGTCTAAATTAATTATGGAGCTATCTTTTATATCAATTACTCAAATATACCTACTTAATATTTCTACTATTTGCTGGAACACTATATATGAAAGGTTTTATCTTAAAAGCAATTCATAACAAACAGAAAGAGTATTGTTTAAACATGACAAATGTATTGTAAACATGGAAATAGTTATCTATCTAATCAGCCCACCAATAAATCAACCAGAATAATTAGTAATCATTTAAGAGACAAGATATTAAACAATCGCTCATGGAAAGCATCGTGTAAATAAAAATGTCTTTGAAAAATAGTTTTATGTAGATTAAATTTTAAGTGTCAAATTTTCGATATGTCGTATACGTCTTACCTTAAAAAAAAATTTTTAAATGTATTTTCAGTGTTGACGCAATAAGCAGGTAATTTGCAAGAAGAAACTTTTGAATGACATATTCGATTAAGCCGTTTAATGAAAAATATTTTATGTTGATTTTTTTTAAATCGATTTCTAAAATTAGTGTTGTATTTTGAGTTATCTACCTAAGAGTCATTATCATAATATTAATAATAGCGACTTACTCTCGCTTCACTCGAGTTCGTCCTTAGGTACGTTTTAACGGTTAGGATGTAATAGATAGACTATATTATGTATATTATTTGATATATACAGAGTGGAACAAATCGATTGGACATGGAAGAAAAGTACCTTCAATATTGAAGTTATAAATATTTACTCAAAGGAAACATTTCTTTATTTTTTTAAATAATAAGAGCTGCATTTAATTTTTTTTTTAAAAGCTTACCTGAACCGAGAATCGAACCAAATAAAAATGCAAATAAGAATTAAGAACACCGTCACTATTTTGTCGAATTAATGGATAAGGTCTATGGGAAGGATAAAATCTCTCGAACAAACATTGCGTTTTAGAATTGAAGAAAACGAACTGCACTTTTTTTAAAGAGGTGACCTGAACCGGTAATTGAACCAACTGAAAATACAAAAAGGTACACCGTCGCCATTTTATCGAATTAATGGATAGAGTCTATGATAAGGATGAAATGTCTCGAGCGAAAACTGTATGTTACAATTAATGAAAACTGCGAAATATTTTAACTAGCGCTGATATGTCAATCCTAACTAAGATAGTTTTCATCCCGGAAAACATAACTTAAGGGGAGAATAAGGGGGGTGTAAGTTTGAATGGGGATTTAATCATTTCTAAAGTAAGGGATATATATATATTTTAAAATACTACTCACCTACTTTTCTATACCTATATTATGTATATGTTAATGTACATAAGTTTGTATATAATAAGAAGTAATAATATAATATTCTTTATTTGTAGTAGAAAATCGGGTTACAAAAATATACTCTACATAACTGTCTCGCTTAAGACAATAATATAAGATTATCCAGTAAGAGTGCTCGTACTAGGAAAACCTGTATTACGAGCACCGTTACCTCTAGATTTACAAAATACGTATGGACCAAATAGTTAACAGTTACCGAAGTTAGTAGATAATAATAAAATTTTTAAATAAAAATGGTAGAAGATAAAATGAATAAAATAAAAGAAA